AAAAACATTAAGTAGTTCTCTGTCCGCCTCCAGGCTAGATCCCGGTGGTCTATAGCACACCCCAAGCACTATCTCGGGGGAGGCTCTAGTAGTTCTTTTATGCAGTGTAATTATTGCCCATACAGACTCCGTCTTATCCGTCCCATCACTTATTATTTCTTTACATTTTAGCTCATTATTGACATATAATGCCACTCCCCCACCTTTACCTTTTTTCCGGTCATTCCTAAACAGCACATACCCTTCCATACCTGTACTCCAGTCATGATTACCGTTCCACCACGTTTCGGTTATTCCTACGATATCAGGTTTCATTTCTTGGACCAGGAGCTCCAATTCCTCCATTTTGTTACCTAGGCTTCTCGCATTGGTGTATAAACATCTTACCGTATGCTGTCTATCCTTTCTCCCATTAGTTATGCAATTTGGAACGGACCCTATGCTGTCCATCCGCCCCCTCTTTCTTATGTCCAATTCCCTACCCCTACCTATGTCTGTGCTTATCTCCTCACACTCCTTTTCAGTGTTGGAATCTGGCGTGGAGATTAACTGAACATCTCCCAACCGTCTCCCCCAAGTTCCTAGTTTAAAGCCCTTTTGATGAGATGAGCCAGCCTCCCTCCCAGAAGTCTATTCCCTTCCCTACTCAGGTGAAGTCCATCCTGCGAGAACAGCTGTCTGTCCCCGAAAGCCTCCCAGTGGCCATACATCCCAAAGCCCTCCTTATAGCACCACTCCCTTAGCCAGCTATTTATCCTCATAATTCTGTCAGCCCTTTGCTGTCCTTCTCTTGGAACAGGCAGAATCCCACTAAAGATAATCTGAGCCTCCACTTCCTTAAGCGTCTTCCCCAGCCTGGCATAATCTCCCTTAATTCTCTCTAGCGAGAACCTAGCCGTGTCATTCGTTCCTACGTGAAGGATGATCAAAGGGTTCTTACCTGCTCCTTTTAGGATCCTTTTCAACCGCAGGTCCACATCCCTTATCTTAGCGCCCGGCAGACAGCACACCCTTCTGTTTTCAGGGTCTGCTCTGGTCACAGGCCTGTCCAACCTCCTCAGCAAGGAGTCTCCAATCACATAAACCTGCCTTTGCCTGGTGACAGTACTCTGTACAAATCTATCCCCTGTTCCCTGTAGTCAGACATAACCCCAGTTCATCACAGTTCTCATCTAGGTTTGCAGTAGATAAACGACTGTGTCTAGACAGTAACAAAAAGACCTAGCTTTTATATAGCGCTTTTCATCAGTACATCTCAAAGAACTTTACATCATTATCCCCATTTTACATATGGGAAACTGAGGCTCAGGTCCATAGATTATTTACAAATTCGTAGATTCCAAGACCAGAAGAGACCATTGTGGTCATCTAGTTTGACTTCTGTATAACACAAGCCATAGATTCCCCCAAAATATTTCCTAAAGCATAGGTTTTAGAGAAACATCCACTCTTGATTTTAAAATTGTCAGTGATGGAGAATCTACTGTGATCCTTGGTAACTTGTCCAGTGGTTAGTTACTCTCGCTATTACAAATTTACGTCTTATCTCCAGTCTGAATTTGTCTATCTTCAACTTCCAGGTATTGGATTGCGTTACACCTTTCTGTGCTAGATTGAAGAGCAGATTGTTAAATATTTGTTCCCCATGTATGTCCTTATAGACTGTGATCAAGTTCCCCTTTAACCTTCTCTTTGGTAAGCTAAATAACTAGAGCTCCTTGAATCATGTTTTCTAATCCTTTAATCATTCTCATGGCTCTTCTCTGAACCCTCTCCAGTTTATCAACATCCTTCCTGAATTGTGGCAGCAGAACTGAACACAGTATTCCAGCAGCGGTCACACACGTGCCAAACACAGAGGTCAAATAACCTCTTTACACCTTATACTTGAGATTCCCCCATTTGTGTATCCCAGAATTGCATGAGCTCTTTTGGCCACAGTGTCACACTGGGAGCTCATGTTCAGCTGATTATCCACCAATCCTCAAATCGTTTTCAGAGTCACTGCTTCCCAGTATAGAGTCCCCCATCCAGTAAGTATGGCCTACATTCTTTGTTCCTAGATATATACATTTACGTTTAGCCATATTAAAATGCACATTGTTTACTTGTGCCCAGTTTACCAAGCGGTCCAGAGCACTCTGAATCAGTGACCTGTCCTCTTCATTATTTACCACTCCCCCAATTTCTGTGTCATCTGCAAACTTTAAATAGCATAGGTCCAAGAACTGATCTCTATAGGACTCCACTAGAAACACACTCATTCAATAATGATTCCCCATTGCAATTAATTTTTGAGACCTGTCAGATAGCCAGTTTTTAATCCATCTAATGTGTGCCATATTAATTTTGTATCATTCAGGTTTTAAAATGTCATGCCTACTAAGTCAAATGACTTACAGAAGTCTCCGGATATTACATCTGCACTATTGCCTTTATCAATCAAACTTGTAATCTCATAAAAAAAAAATCAAATTAGTTTAACAGGATCTGTTTTCCATAAACTCATATTGATTGGCATTAAATATATTAACCTCCTTTAATTCTTTATTAATCGAGTCCCATATCAGCCGCTCTGCTATCTTGCCGAAGTTGATGTCTGACTGACAGGCCTACAATTACCTGGGTCATCCCATTTATCCTTTTTAAAGTAGCTTTCTTCTAATCTTCTGGAACTTCCCCAGTATTCCAAGACTTATTGAAATCAACATTAACGGCCCAGCAAGCTCCTGAGCCAGCTCTTTTGAAACTCTTGGATGCAGATTATCTGGACCAACTGATTTTATAATATCTAACTTTAGTAGTTGCTGTTTCTCCTGAGATACTAGTGGAATAGAAAATGTGTTATCATATGATATGACTACATCATCTATTTTCTTCCCAAATATAAAACAGAAATATTTATTGAAGACCTCTGTCTTTTCTGTGTTGTTTATGATAATTCTACCATTTCCATCTATTAATGGACCAATACCGTTGTTAGGATACTTTTTGTTCCTAATGTACTTAAAAAGCGCCTCCTTATTGTCCTTAATTCTGTTAGCCATAGATGTCTCCTTGTGTCCCTTTGCTTCTCTTATCAATTTTCTACAATTCCTAGCTTCTGATTTATATTCATTACTATCAACTTCCCCTCTCTTCCATTAAATATAGATCTTTTTCAGTTTTTTTATAGCTGCCTTCACTTCCCCCCTAAACCAGATCAGATTTTTAACCCTTCTTCCTCAGTTGTGGGATTGTGGCTTTTTGGGCATCTGTAAAAGTGATCTTAAACAATTTTGGATGATCATTTATATTTTTCTGATTGAATTCTTCCTCCCAGCAGATTTGGCTGATAAATGTTTTCAACTTTGTGAAATTGGCATTTTTAAAGCACCAAGTATATATTTATATCACTGGTCTGGACTTTATTATAATGGTCCATATTAGAAATATGATCAAATCATGATCACGTGTACCTAAATTACCATTAATTTTAGTTCTGTGATCAGACCTTCTTTATCTGTCAAGATCTAATGTAGAATTCCTCCATGTTGGCTACAACACTTGTTGATTAAGGAAAATGTCAGGGAGGTGAAGAGACTTGCCCAAGGTCACTCAGCAGGGCCACTGCCAGAGCCAGCAACAGTTGCAGTGCAGGAGTCTCTCAACACCATTACTCTGTGATTCCGAAGGGCTCCTCTCTCTCCTGTACATTTTGTGATAGTGGAATGGGGATAATGATCATGCATTTAAGTGTGTAGTTGTTAACAGAGCCAGTGAGAGAAATTTCAGACATCGTTTATATGTCCCAAAATCTTGAGAGCTTTATTACATGGGCTTAGTAAATTTACATGCATGAGAGAAGACGGGGGTGTTTCTTTTCTTCTCCAACCTCTCCCCTACCATTTCGTGCAACATGTAGCCCTTCCAGCTCAGACCTTTTCCAGATGTTTGCCCTACCGGGGATTTGAAGTGTCATTAGCTGGGCACAGTTTAGGATCTAAGTCATCTGCTTATCCCCATGAGCTATCTAGGTACCATTAAACTTCCTAAACTACAAACTCTCTTGGCTTCTCTATCTTTGCATGTTCAGTGTAATCTGATTTGCTTGTGAGCATTAGGCATGAGGGTAAATTAGGAGCCAAGCTCTTCGGCTAATACCATTCTGAATTTTGCTCCCCCAGAAGGCTAGTGGGTGCCATGCACTCTTTGGGGGAAACACTCAAGTGAGTGAGAGCCTTGTATCAGGATCAGAGCCATGGTTTGATCCCTAGGTCTGGGCAAAAATATGTCAACATTAAGAAAATACTTTTTTGGGGGTTTGTATTTTGGGAACCCCTTGGTCAAAATGACCACAAATTTGGAACACCCTGACCAGTGCCCGATGAGCCATATCAAATTTCAAGGCAATCTGAGTAACTATGTAGATTTTAGAGCACTTAGAAGAATTGAGGTTTAAACAAACAGCTGGCCTATACCTTAACTATACTAGACCAGGCGGTCCACTATAATATTTATTGGGAACTGAACTGAAGCACATACTGCAGGGTTCAGAGTAGCAGCCGTGTTAGTCTGTATCCGCAAAAAGGTGTCATACTGCAGGGTGTCATCAAGGATCCATTGCATAACTCTGTACTGCAACAACTTCTGTGAGAAAAGAGGGATGGAATCTATTGTGCATCAGTCTTTCTGTGACATTAAAATCTGACCTTTTCACAATACCAGAGTTTTCTGCCTTTGAAAAAGATTGTACTACTAGTAGTTTATATAATAGCACCACCTGTGTCTTAGCTCTGCCTTGGCATTTTTGTAGCAGCCAACACCATCCAATAGGACAAATTTCTCTTCTACTAATATGGGAAACAGCCACTTTTGAACATTTGGCTCCTATTTCTTTAGTTTCAGATGATTCTGGTAGCTAACAGGATGTTGAATGAGCAGAAGTTGTAGGACTTGTGGGTGGAGCTGCTGGGTTTTCAGCTGGAATTTCACTAGATTAATTTGTCTTTCTCTGGCAGGTGGTAAAGGTTCCCATATTAGAATGTTCACAGTACTTGGATTGTGAATCGTGTTTGACACTGAAAGATCCATACTGTGGCTGGTGTGTTCTCCAGGGACGGTAAGATCTCTGATCACTTCCTCAACAAGGCTCTTCAGAGAAATGATTATTTGGGATTAGCTAGTTAATTTTCTTTTGTTTAGTTCTATCAGTTTTACTGGAAAACGCCAATAAGGTACAGTATGCGATTATGTTAACTCTTCTATTCGTACATTTATATGATCTTGTGCAACATGCATTTAGACTTGTATAGCCCTACTTGGAATACTTTTAGCTGCTGCATGTGGTACATGCATCTCCTCTGAGTTCATTCATTCTTTAATCCCTCATCCTTCTATCATCTGATTCTGTCTCCCCACACTACCTCCCTGAAATGCCACCATTAGTCAACAGCTGCTTTTTCTCTGGCACCTTCCAGTTCCTGCAAATTGGAGCCACTGCATTTCACTCAGTTCTGCGCTTCTCTTCAGTCACCATGCACTGTATTCTTCCCAGTGGATCTCAGTCTGGGTTTCACTGACCACAGCAAGGAAACTAGTCTGTTCTATGCAGCTAACAGCCTTCTCCTTTCTGCTGCTACTGGCTCATCCTCTCTCCTCATTCAGCCTTCAACACTCTGTTCCAGTCCTTGGTAGTGGAGCCAGCAATGCTGTGAACTCCAGCTCTCATCAAACATGGTTCTACTTCCACTTGGCTATCCTTTTCTCTGTTTCTGTCTATGCAGTGCCACAGTGTTCAGTTCATAACCCTCTGTTATGTCCCTTATTCCTCTCAGGTTTTTCACCTCCACCTTTAATCTTAGTGGCCAGGTTTAGTCAGCTGTAAACTGTAAATATAATTTACAAAATGAAGTTGTGCTATATCTAATGTACCCAGTGTGGCCAGGATTTCCATTCATGCCCAAATTTGGATTCCCATAGCACTGTTGGGGCTATTGAGGCTACATGCCTTAGCTTGTTGTCACTACTGTAGTTGGTGTGTTTGGTTTCCCTACCACTCTTGCTGGGGAGAGTCCTGCTCACAGCAATATTGTAGCCAAAAAATGCATCCCCTCCTCAGTTTTGGAGAGCACGCTGATGGTTTCCTAAATCTTTTTCTTTAGGTGCAGTCGTCGCTCTGAGTGCTCCAGATCCACAGTGAGTGAGCAGTGGCTCTGGAGTTTTAATTCTACACAGCAGTGTTTATCCATCCAGTCACTAAGCCCAGCTAATATCAGCAGAGAAGAAAAGAGAAATGTGAGCAGTGACATTGTACTTGGAAAACATACCCCTGTGATACAAATGGTGGCTTTCTCCTTTCATGTTTGCAGACGGTCGGCCACCTTCCATTCTGGTGTAAATGAGAAAATCTCCTATTGACTTCGGTGGAAGCTGAATCACTGAGCTTTGAAGTTCATCCAGAGTGTGCCTTACTCAGGGCACGTACGTGTCATGGTGGCCCCAGGAGGAATGGGTTCCATCACGACTTTGTCAAGTCAGATGTCTATGCATATATTATTATGAGAGTGATACATTTTGGGGGTTCTTACTTGCCTTGTGCTGCTACTGCAAAGTCTGTCCTTGGCTTGGCATGTGTAAGCATGCTTATAGATTTCTAAAGCTTCATGGTGCTGATTATTAAAAGGATAATGAAAGAAAGTTAAAATTATCAACACAGTGTCTGACCTCTGCTAGAAGAGCCAATGGGAAACTGAGATGTCTCATGGATGAGAATTCTCTCAATGTGCCAAAAGCCGGTGGGAACCCACTTTCCATCTAGAGAACTGGGTGCTTGCTTACAGGAAGGACATTAAGGAATGGGAAAAGGCATTGAAAATGGCAGCAAGGAGAATGAGATTAGATACAATAGTGGGAGCCATCTTAGAAAGACAGTGGATGGATGGATCAATTACTTGTTTCTGTGTCTCTTAAAAATTAGAGATTAGGAAAACAGAATTATATTAACTAAAAAAATGTGGATTATGCAGGGACAAATTATGGATTTATATTAATATTTGATTGGCAGATTTTCCTCACTATCTTGGATTTACCATCCTTGCATGAGGAAGAAGCCTATTCATGTTACTTTGAAGACTACGAGAGTCCAGCAGTTCTGACAGAGTCAGGCATCGTGTGTCCCTCCCCAGATCCCAGCCAAGCACCAGCTTTGAAAACAGGAACAGGTCAGTTCAACATTTTCCATAAATGAAGTATAAAGTGACTGGTAAACAAAATCATCAGGAGAAGGAACAGCGAAGTTTGTCAGAATGTCTGTGGCAAGGTAGAATATGAGAGAATTCTAATGCTTTAATGATGGTTAAGTGAAAGTGTAGGTTGAGTTGGTATCCTGTGAGTAAATATAAGGGAGTTTTAAAATCTGTCACATGGTTCTTAAATTGTACACATATGGTATTGTTTCCGGGGAGCTCGCTAAGTGTCAGTGTTCACCAGGTCTGGAACCCCTGAATTGTAAAGTGTCAAGGGCCACTGTGAGTATGTGCGCATTGAAGCATTGCTCAAAGAGGGTAGACGGAAGGTGGTGTGGGCGACCGTATTTTTTTCCTTTCTGTCCATTTGTCCTGTGGGTGAGAGTGAATGGGTTGTAAAGGAGGTGAAGAACATGTACATTTCAGTCACTGTTGGCGGAGGAATGGTATATGTGTGAATGGGGCATGTTGGGATATTTCTGAAAGAGGGCAGAGTTAAGGTTGCATGGGCAAACCAAACCAATGGAAATCATATATATATATATGTATATATATATATATATATATATATATATGTATATATATAAAAAAAGGGAGGATGAAAATCGGGCTTATGCTGGGAGGCTCGCTTCCCAACTAAACTATGGAGACAGTGTGTCCCTCTATAAAGCGGACCATATGTCTGTCTGTCTAATAATACTGCAGCATGGGGACCTGTCACAGCTCCAGTATTTTAGAGGTGCAATATTTATTTCCCTTTTCAGAGCACATAACTATAAAGCTAGTGGTGCGTTTCCATAATGTCTTCATTGCTTCAGTGGATTTCTCTTTCTATGACTGTGCCGCAGTGGCCTTGCAGTGGAAGTCAGCACCGTGAGTACATGTTGGTTCCCTGTCTAAAGGCTTTGGCCATTCCCTGTCTACTGGACCTCCTCAGAGGCTAATCTTGTACTGTTGTTTCAGGTGTCAGGGTTGTGTGAGCAGTCACTGGGGATGTAACTGGTGTATCCACCAACACCTCTGCACCCACAAAGCAACTTGTGAAGAGGGGACCATTATCTACAATGAGAGGGTTTGTCTCATGCATAGATCCCATCTGCAAAGAATGCCACTGAAGTCCAGAAAGATTGTTTTTACTCAGATTAAGATGGCAGCCATCTTGCTGCTGTGGGCTGAGAGTGTCAAGAGGAGTATGTGTCCCCTTCTGATACTAAAGAGGGGCTCCTGAACCCTCAGAGCCTGGCTGCTTTGTAGAGTTTTCTCAGGTATTGTGGGGTGGGGGCTGAGGAAAGGTTTCCAGCAGCAGGGCAGTGAGGCAGGATGGGCCTCTTATTCAGAGTGAGTCATAACTCATCCAGAAACCCTCCCTCATGCCCAGCCTGCGATCCTGATGTAAGGGATCTGGGGAAGCTATGAGGCATCAGAAGTCTGGGAGAAAACCATCAGGGAACTGATAGTAGGGAGGCAGGCAGGGAGCAAGAGAGAATTGGCCTGGGGAGAAGTGTGTCAGGCTGGGGCACGTTGCAGGGTGAAGAAGATGAGCAGGGAGCACCAGCTGGGAGGGACAGGTGTCTCTTGGTGTGGGGAAGGGTGGATGAAGCTGTACAAGAGGAGAAGCTGATAATTGAGCTAATCCTTCATACTCTGAGAGTTTCAGGCCCTCAGAATCTCTCTCTAGGATGTGCAGTGTTAGCCTTTATTCCCTGTGCTCAGCGAAGCCAACTGGTGTGAGAGGCTCATCTCTCTCTCAGTAGAAATCTCAGAAGGGTCAAATGGCCTCCTGGGAATTCCCTTTTGACATGGAATCCGACTGACTGTTGTTTTTTGCTTGTGTCTTTCTCTCACATGTTGCTGTTTTCATGCTCACTCTGTGATTCTCTCTCTCTACCCCCATCTCAATGGCTCCCTTCAGACACAAATTCCAACCTCAAGTCCATTTCTTTCTTCAGCTGCTTCCACCACCATGACCTCCACCAACACGCTGACTGTGGCCACCAAACCCATCACTCCCCCAGTCACTATGGTGGTTACCCACACTCCCATCACAGAGTCAGTCCCCACCACTCTGCCTGCAGTCTCTGCCATGACTGCTCATCCCACAGGGACCTTTAGCCACACACATGCATCAACTCCAACTACAGCCATTCTCACCTTTCTCAAGATCACCACTGAATCTACGGTACTACCCCTAACAGACAAGCCTGCTACTACCAGCCTTGCCACAAATCCTACTGTAGCATCTGTCACTACTAGCGCAGCAGAGACTGCAGACCGTACAGCTCTGCCTACCTCTGAACTAGCCACAGCCCCAGAAGTGTGGTTCACTGACCCACCCACCACTGCTGCCTTCAATACTCTGCAGCCAGTTGTGGCAGCATTAACCCCTCCCCCTGATATCACAAATTCCACGTGGCCTCCCACTACTACTTTACCAACCTCTGAGGCACCCACATCTGCCATCCCATCTCCTTTCACCCCCAACCAAACTTCTAGTGCCCCCACCTCCTCTGCTGATTTCCCAGGAAACCTGGAGACAGAACTGCCTCCCTCTGAGGTCCCATCTTCAGTCCTTCCTGACTGGCTACTTGGGGAAGGCACAGAGCTCAAGGACACAGAGGATTGGATGGATTCACTGCAGACCGAGAATGATACGTCACCCTTCTCTGCTTCCACTCTTCTCTCAGGCGATGGAGACTCTTCAGAGAGGGATGCCCCTGATTTCCCCAGAATTCTGCACCCTGATTTTGACTATCAATATGATGCCCCTGGATTTTTGGAGTTGGTGAGTCTCTGATGCAGCTCTCAGACCTACCTTTAGAGCTGTGGTCTACTTTGAAATTCAGATGCAGGTCACCAAACTGGGAGACATTACGTCACAGGAAGGAAGATGGGGTCTCCTGGAGGAGAAGGAGGAGCCAAAGGATGGTGATGTGTTCAGAGTGGGAAATGGCAGCCTGAGGAAGGAAGGGGTTTTGGTGTTGTAGCGTGGCCATTTACCTGGAAGCTGCACAGTGCCCAAGCGACGGGTTTCCTGGTACACCATTCCTAGGGCTTGCGTAGTGTCTACTTTCTCCTGCTCGCTGTCTTTGGGGTCTTATATTGCTCTCCTTACCCCTGTAGTAAATGGCTGGGTCTACACTATGAGCTAGGGGTGTGATTCCCAGCCTGCATACACATACTCGCTGTAGCTGTCATTGAGCTAGGTTGCTAAAAAGAGAAGTGTAGCTGCAGTAGCATGGGTAGTACCAAGGAGGCTATGGGCTAGCCATGCTTAGTACAAACCCGTCTGAGCCTGTTGCTATGTACTTGGCATGGCTAGTCCATGCTGCCACTCACCACTGCCTGGCCTGCCTGGCCTACCCCAGCTCTACTGTAGTTCTCAGCATGCTAACTCAATGAGTGCGAGTATGTCTAGGCTTGCTGGCAATCAGCTCCAAGTATAAACATACCCAGTGAGCCCAGCTTCCCCTTCTGTTAGGATGAAATTTCATTCCTGTATTTGCCTGTGTTAATTGTTCCAGTCAAGTTCAATTCCCTGTGCCGTGGGTGCTCTCTATGGGTGTTTGTTTTTCAGAATGAGGAGTTTAGCTGGGGTCCTGGAGCCTGTCCCTGTGTGCAGGGCATTCAGGGATCCTCTCTGCTCCCAGTCAACGTGGAGCAGAAGATAACCCTGCTGGGGAAAAACTTCCATCTGTATCAGGTATGTGCCTGTTGCTTCCCACTGAGAAGAGGTTTGCTTGGAGCAAGGCACCCTGTGGGCAGCCTCTGGCACCTCGGTTCCTAGATACGTCACATTTAAGGGCACCTCGCTGAAGCATGTGGGGACTGCATATCCAGGGTGGGTCCCTGCTGAGTCCCTTCTCATTCCATTTTAAACCTCAAAAGCTGAGCGCAGTTCTTCCATTTTTCATTGCCCTGTCCCCTTCTCCTGATGTAGTAAAATGTCCGTGTGGCTATTCCACATTTGAAGCTTCTACAACAGAGTTAAAATTAAGCCTTACAGATCCTCAAAAACTCTGGTTCCTTTGGGCTGCATTTACAGTCACAGGTGAAAATCATATTTGTCTCCAAAGTTTGAAGACTACTTCAATAACCTCTCTGGAATTATAGTCCTTGATAGACGTATGTACAAACTACAGCTGGAACCTGATAGGTTTCAGGGCATGTGGCCTATTTCTCTCAGTTACAGACTAATTGTTACCTTTCTCTGTTGAAGTGTGTATTGTACATACAAGCATGGTTGGTGACTGACACATACCCTGGCTCATTTTTCTAATCCTTTCTCTGGTGTTTTTTTCCCCTCTAATCCCCCTGCTTCTGGGCTGAAGTCTTTTGATAGGAACCCTCTCCTCTCCCCAGCATACAGTGTGTGTCTTCTGGGAATTAATTTGTTTGTGGTCTTGATTTGATTCCTCTCATGTGGGGATCATGAAGAAGGGAGAGTATAGGAGGGACTAGAATGCAGGAGAAAGGTGGCATGGCAAATGAGAACAAGGAGCATGTTGCATGCGTAGGGAGTGGTATGGAAAAGGGCTCTGAGATGGGAACAGGAGGAGAAGTTTTATGGGGGAGCATAGGTGTGTGTGTGCCTGAAAGTCTCTGTTTGTTGGTTTGGTCGTGTGAGTGGATACTGGTGATATTGTCTCTCTCTTCCTGGCTGTAGGATCAGCAATGGGACTATGAGTGTGTCCTGATTGTGGAGGGGAGGACAGTGGTGATGGATGCTTATGTTGAGGGGGAGGAAGCAAACCGATCACTCTGCTACATCACATGTCAGCTACACCAGGTAAGTATTTGAGATGGCAAAAGCTATCCAGACTTCCCACTAATCCAATCTCATCTAGGTTTTTGTTGATGATCCTCTTAGTCTGACTGGAGAGAAGACTAAAAACTACTTTAAATTGTGAGCTCTTTGGAGCAGAGACCATCTTTCTGTTCTGTGTTTGTACAGTGCCTGGCACAACAGGGCCCTGATCCCTGAGGCTGCTGTAAGATAAGTAATAATAATTAAGTCTTCAGCTAGCAGAAGGTTAGTTTTATCTGTGCCATAGTACAGTGATAATGCCATGATTGTGGCAGAGAACAATGCCATCCCTGTAACATATCTCACTACCATTCCTATGATATCCAAAAGATTGGCTCCATTGCCCTTTCATTTAGCACTCTATCACTCCCACTAGCAGTGCTTTGTTTACCTGTTTGTGGGCTCTTCTGGAATTGGGGACAGCTCCTTTGCAGAAAGCCTCTGGGAGAAAACCAAAATAACAGAAAGTAAGATAGATGCAAGCATGAGATATGTAGCATGTACAATCCCAGCCTGCTGAGGGTGCTAGAGTTATAGATAACATTAATGTATTACGCCTGGCCTTTGCAACAGGAGAGAGAGGGATACTGGCCCAGAGATTGTGGGCTGTTTCTACCAGGATGAGAGATTTGAGGGGGGTGTGGCATGTGGAGAGGATTTGTAAATAGCCTGGAGTGGATGGTGCATGCAGCTGTCCCTAGAGGTCCCTGTCTGGGCACCCAACTGTTGTAGCAGCTTCTCTGATTGCCTTTGAGAGGCCTAGAGGGTTGAAACATGGTAATGGCTTTGGGTGAGGACTTGGGGTCATTTGATTCCTGTGGTTGTCATGGAAGGCTAGGCGAGGATGTTATGGTGAGGAGGTCGGGGGTAAAGATCATGGATTCTTCAAGTGCTTGCTCATGCACACCATTCTACGTTTGTGCATGCCCACTTGCATAGTTGTTAGAGATTTCTGCCTTAGTGGTATTCATAGGGTCGGCTGTGGCACCCTCTGGAGTGTGCGCTCATGTGTCGGTATATTTGGCGCCACCGGCCCTACGCCCTCTCATTTCCTTCTTACCGCCCGTGGTGGTTGGTCGGAGCACCTTTCCCTTGCCTAGCAAGCGATCACTAGTTTTTCTCCTTTGCTTCACATTTTAGTGTTGTAAATAGTTTGTTTACAGTAGTTAGCTAGTGAAGTAGTTGTTAAGCACTGTAGTAAGTAAGTTAGGGTCCCAGTGGGGACTTTGCCCCAGGCAGGGGGGAATGCCCTGGTTTCTGGGTTTTAAGCCCTGCGCCGACTGCAACAGGCCTATGCCTGTTAGTGACCCCCATAGCAGCTGCCTGAAATGCTTTAGGGAATAACATGTAAAAGAGAAGTGTTGCATCTATAAGAACTTTCGTCCCAGAACACAGAAAGAGTGCAACATCCATTTGAGGCCCATCCTCAGGGAGGCCGCTCTCCGCCCAGCCTCGGAGCCATCCCAGATGGAGTCGACTCCCGGTACTTCGGCCTTGGTGTGTAGTGCACCCCCGGCACTGGGCTTTACCCAGCACCTCTCCCCTTCATTGGTGCCTAAAAAGAAGTCGAAGAAGCATGACCCGGCACCAAGTACCCCAGAGCTACATGGGGGTGCATCCCTGAGGTGGTCAGTGTGATCTTCCGAAAGTGGGGATCTCCCTGAGTGGACTTGTTCGTGACTTGCTAGAACTGGAAATGCCATGTGTTCTGCTCGGTTTGGGGGATCAACAGGGGCTCTTTGTCAGACGCCTTCTTACTCCAATGGTTGGGGGCTCTGATGTATACCTTCCCAGCAGTGCCATTAATCCAGAGTCCTCATGAAGATCAAACAGGACAGGGCGAAGGTGATCCTGATAGCCCCGGCTTGGCCTCGCCAACATTGGTTTGGCATGCTGCTGGACCTCTCAGTGACACCCCACTGTAGCTGCCTCTCTGATCGGATCTGCTGTCCCAGAACTACGGCAGTCTCCTGCACCCGAACCTGGCAGCGCTGCACCTGATGACTTAGCAGCTGCATGGCTGAATGCGCAGAGGAGGAGTGCCTGGCCTGTGTCCAACAGGTCTTGTTGGGCAGCAGAAAGCCCTGCACCAGGGCAGCCTACCTAGCCAAATGGAAATGGTTCATGTGCTGGGCCTCGGACCAGGGTATTAGGCCAAAGCAGGCCTCACTTCAGTTGACCTTGGATGACCTTCTACATCTCCATCTCCAGGGCTTGTCCCTTTCATAAATTAAGGTCCACTTGGCCGCTGTATCAGCCTTTCACCCTCCATTTCAGGGCAGGTCGGTCTTCGCCCACAACATGACGATCCAGTTTCTAAAAGGTCTGAAGTGACTCTATCCTCATGTCTGGGACCCTGTCCTTGCTTGGGACCTGAATCTAGTGCTGGCACGGCTCGTGGGGGGCCCCCTTCGAGCCATTAGCTTCCGGTTCCCTTCTTCTGTTCTCCTGCAAGGTGGCGTTCCTGTGGCAATAACATCTGCCCATAGGGTCTCTGAGATTAGGGCACTTAATTTGGAGCCGCCCTATACGGTGTTTTTTGAGGACAAGGTCCAGCTGTGACCGCACCCAGCTTTCCTGCCCAAGGTTGTTTTGCAGTTTCACGCGAGTCAGGACATATTCTTGCCAATCTTTTTCCCAAAGCCTCATAAGTCTGAGAAGGAACGTAGATTGCACTCGGTAGCCTTTTACATCGAAAGGACCAAACTGTTCTGTAAGTCAACGCAGCTGTTCGTCCTGGTGGCGGGTAGGATGAAAGGTCGTCCGGTGTCTACCCAGAGAATTTCATCCTGGATCGCTGTCTGCATCCAATTTTACTATGATCAGGCGAAAGTGCCTCCACCGGCAATTGTAACCTCCCACTCGACTAAGGGGCAAGCCTGATCGGTGGCCTTCTTCTTCAAGTGCTTGCTCATGTTGAGTCCGTTCTAGGTATGCGTGCCCACGTGCACGGTTGTCGGAGACTTTTGCCTTAGCAGTATCCGTAGGGCTGGCTGTGGCACTCTCTGGACTGGTGCGCTCATGCGGCAGTATATCAGGCACCGCTGGCCCTACGCCCTCTCAGTTCCCTCTTATCGCCTGTGACGGTTGGTTGGAGCTTCTAGTCTTGCTTAGCAAGAGCATTAGCGGTTCTTCACTGTTCAGATCGTTCTCCTTTGTTATTTAGTCAGTGATTAGTTAGCTAATCTGAGGTGTGATTATTGCTAGTAGTTTAGTAGTTAGAGTCCCGGAGTGGGGCATGCCCCGCTCACCAGCCTTTAAGACGTGTTCTGAATGCAGCCGGCCAATGCCCATCAGCGACCCTCACGAGAGTTGTCTGAAGTGCCTGGGGGAGTCCCATCGAAAAGACAAGTGCCGGATCTGCAAAAATTTTCATCCCCAAACTCAAAAAGAGCGGGACATTCGATTAAGGGCCCTCCTTATGGAGGCTGTTCTGCGCCCAGCAACGGAGCCCTCGCACTCGGACTCCACACCCGGTACTTCAGCGTCGGTGCACCGCTGGCACTGGGATCCAGCCGGCACTGTTCCCCCTGGCCAGTACGGAAGAAGTGGTCTAAGTCGTCTGGTCTGCAGGCACTGCGCAAAGGACCTGAGCTAGGCCTCGTGCCCACAATGGAGGCTCTCGGGGGTACCGCTTGGTCAGATCCCCTAGTCCAGCCAGGGATCTACCTCTGACTCTGGGGAGCGGTAGGGGGTCCTGGCCCATCGCAGGGCCATTTGTGCCCAAGGCGGGCCTGGCGGCCAAAGAACAGTTAGGCCAACCAGCACCGCAGATGCCTGGCCACATGGTAGATCCCGCCAAGTCACCAGCTCAGACGACCAAGCCGGTGATGGGACTGCCCCTAAAGGCAGTGGAATGCCCCTGGTCCCTGGACTGCAGGTGTCATTCCCTTTTGCCACAGCCAAGGACCCCGGTACTGCAGCCCTGGTCTCCGGCCAGGAGGCCCAGGTCTCCGACGCCACGGTCTCCGCTTACAAGACACGGGACTCCAGAGTCGCGACGGCAATCCCCATATTCTCGGTACTGACAGTCCTCCCCCCAGAGATCACCAAGGTGCCAGTCACCATCGCCTTGCAGGTCGCCTAGGTGTTGGTCTCCTCAGACGCGAGACCGTTCCTGGTCGCGGCACCGGTCGCCAGGGCTACGGTACCATTCTTTGGGCAGGAACTGGCACTCGCCTTCCCCGTACCGGTTGCTGACAAGAGTCAGTCGACAGACTCAGGCTTCCATGGCCCCGCCCTGGTCCCCAGAAGAACAGTGGTCTGGGTTGGAGGGACAGTTTAGCCCTTCCCCTGTCCAGGACAAATCTTCTCCCAACTGGGAGCCCGCCAAGGTGCCCGTGGCACCAACATGGGGTCAGGGGCAAAGGCCCGCCCAGTGGCAATACTGGAACCCACGATGGGTGCCTGTAATGCCGGCACCATACTCCCACCACTCCTCCCAGGCAACATTGGACAAGCTACCCCTGGCACAGCCGGCACCGGTGTTGGAGCAAGGGGCCCAGTCTGAAGCGGTGACCTCGAGGGAGGCTCCGGGGACCATGGAGCAGTTCCCAATGCAGCAAGGGCACGCCCCCCCCAGCCTCCGGCGGTGCAGTCATCCTCATCGTCCCCAGAGGAGGCGGTGGCGGAGCCCTCACAAACTAGCTGCTCCTCTGATGACATCAGGGAGCACCAAGCCCTTCATAAAAGGGTGGCGGCCCACGTGAACTTGGAGGTCAAGGAGCTAGCTGAGGAGCCCGATGACCTCTTCAATGTCATTCCATCCTCTTCCCCAGCCTGGGTCACATTGCCTGTTCACCAAGGGGTCCTGAAGATCGCTAAGTCGGTATGGCAGACCCCATCTTCCATTCCGCCCACAACCAAAAAGCCGGAAAAGAAGTACTATGTCCCCGTCCAGGGGGTTGAATATCTATACACGCACCCTCCTGAGGGGTCCCTGGTCATGTCTGCCACCAACTAAAGGGCCAGGTGAGTGGCATCCCCAAAAATAAAGATGCCAAGAGACTAGAGTTATTTGGCAGAAAGATTTATTCCACAGTGAGCTTCCAATTCAGGGTCTCTAACCATCAGGCACTACTTGGCAGGTACAATTTCAGCCTGTGGGACTCGGTCAGCAAGTTCAAAGCGAGCCTCCCACAGGATCAGGCACAGGAGTTCGCCACTCTGATAGATGAGGGCATGGCAGTGTCCTCCCGATGGCCTGAGACGCCAAGTACTCGGCGTCCAGGGTGGTTGCCTCTGCAATAGCCATGAGGCATAGCTCCTGGTTACAGACCTCCAGGCTATCCCAGGAGATGCAGTATACCCTCCAGGACCTCCCTTTTGAGGGAATGGGGCTCTTTTCAGAGCTAACTGATGCTAGGCTCCACGGCCTTAAAGATTCCCGGGCCACCTCCACTCCTTAGGTCTTCATACTCCTCAGCAGGCCAGGAAGCTGTTCCACCCCCTGTCGCCTCCACAAGGTCTTGGGGTACCCCTCGTTCCAGCTCCTAAAAAAAGGAGGACAAAAACGGGTTTTAAGTGATGCCACCAGTCGTCGTCTCGTTCACCTGCTCAGCCCGGTCCTTCCAGGTATCAAGGTAGTCAGCAGAAGTCATTCTGAGAGTGCGCCCGAGGATGATGCCCCAGTTACTGCACCGGATCTGCTCCCCATCTTCCTCAACCGCTTCCACCTTTTCTGGTTGGCCTGGTCCCATATCACATCGGACTGCTGGGTGCTTGACACAGTCTCATTGGGTTATATCCTGCAGTTTGTAGCCGACCAGCCCATCCATCCCTCTTCCCAGTCCCTCTTCAGGGACCCTTCTCACGAGCAACTCCTCATTCAGGAGGTTGGAAACCTCATGAGCCTAGGGGCAGTGGAAGAGGTTCTACAAGACATAGAAGGAAGAGGGTATTACTCCCTTTACTGCCTCATTCCGAAGGCAAAAGGGGGTCTCAGACCGATCTTAGACCTGCGCCACCTCAGCAAGTCTCTCAAAAAGTTTTCGTATGGTCTCCCTGGCCTCCATCATTCCCTCCTTGGATCCGGCAGAGTGGTACGCTGCCCTTGATTTAATGGACGCATACTTCCGTATTTCTATATTCCCGGGAAACCGGCGTTTCCTTTGTTTCATGTTGGGCCAGTACCATTTCCAGTTCATGGCATTGCCCTTTGGTCTCTCGTCTGCCCTGAAAGTGTTCACAAACACTCTACATGAGTAGATCTGGGGAGTCCAGATCTACCCGTACCTCTATGACTGGTTGATAAGGGGCCAGTCCTCGGATCAGGTGCAGAGGCATCCCAATCTGGTCTGTTCCACCAGCCACGATCTGGGCCTATTAATAAATGACAAAAAGTCGACCTTCACCCCAGTGCAACATATAGAATTCATTGGGGCGATACTCGATTCCACTCAAGCCAGAGCCTTTCTCCCTGAAAGTTGGTTCCATGCCATGGTGGACCACATCTCATCTCATCTCTGCATGCCCAACCACTCACCACTGCCCACACGTGCCTGAGACTGTTGGATTACATGGCACTATGCACTTACGTGGTCTGGCATGCAAGACTCCGCCTCAGGCCCCTACAGGCATGGCTGGCATTGGTTTATGTCCCCAACTGGCACAGTATGGACCAGGTGATCAGGGTGACGGACAGCATACTGTCATCCCTTACCTGGTGGCAAGATCCCGCATCCGTGCCGGAGGGAGTCCCCTTCGCGGCCCCAGTCTCGTCAGTGACTCTTGTCTCTGACTCTTCGGACCTGGGTTGGGGAGCCCACCTGGGTGATCTTAGTACTCAAGGCCGTTTGTCCAGTCACAGTCGGTCTCTGCACATCAACATCAGGGATTTCTGTCTGCAGCACGACATCCATCTTGTGGCCGCTCACCTCCTAGGGGCCAGGAATACTTGAGCAGACCACCTCAGCAGAACATTCTCCTCTCGCCACGAGTGGTCCCTTCACCTGGAGGTGGTCAGTTCTATCTTCCACAGGTGGGGAACTCCCCAGGTGGACCTATTCGTGTCCAGGAAGAACAGGAAATGCCACGTTTTCTGCTCATTCCAGGGCAGCGACAGGGGATCCCTGTCAGATGCCTTCTTGCTCCCATGGTCAGGGCTCTGATGTACGCCTTCTCTCCAGTGCCATTGCTGCACAGAGTCCTCATGAAAATCAAGCAGGACAGGGTGAAGGTCATCCTCAGCGCTGGCGTGGCCGCACCAACACTAGTTCAGCACTCTGCTGGATCTCTCAGTGGCGACCCAGTTCCAGATGCCGTTCAGGGCGGACCTGTTGTCCCAGAACCACGGCAGTCTCCTGCACCCAAACCTGGCAGCGCTTCATCTGATGGCTTGGCTGCTGTGTGGCTAAACGCACAAGAGCGGCAGTGCTTGTCTGAGGTCCAACGAGTCCTGTTGGGCAGTAAAAACCCTCCACTAGGATGACCTACCTGGCCAAATGGAAGCTATTCACCTGCTGGATGGCGAATAAGGGGGTTTGTCCCGAGCGAGGCCCATTGCAGATCATTCTAGACTACCTCCTGCACCTCAGGCTTCAGGGCATGTCGCTCTCATCCATCAAGGTCCATCTAGCAGCCATCTCGGCCTTCCACCCACCACTCGAGGGCAGGTCGGTTTTCTCTCAGGATGTCACAGCCAGATTCCTCAAGGTCCTGGAGTGTCTCTACCCGCACATCAGAGATCCTGTTCCTCTGTGGGACTTGCATCTGGTGCTGTGACAGCTCACGGGTCCCCCCTTCAAGCCTTTGGCTTCCTGCTCTCTCCTTCTCCTCTCCTGGATGGTCGCGTTTCTGGTCGCAGTCACGTCAGCCCTCCTGGTATCTGATATTTGAGAGTTCACCTTGGAGCCACCTTATACGGCTGCTTTTACTATATCATAGTCAGCTGCTTGTGCATCACTCAGTGCCACGTAGGCAGCTTGTGCCTCTCCCAAGTGTAGGGAGCTAATTGGAGGGCCCATACTCCCTTCTCCCAGCCCACTCCTCATGCCACCCTCTCGAATGTCAACAAAAAGGCATCAGGGTTATCCGTTGGGCCCATTTTGCACAGTCTTGTGCCCACTGCCCGGTTATCGCTCCCTGCCATGGGATTCACCAGCTTCTCTATGAGCTGTTGCTCCACCTGCGCCTGCTGTGCAATAAACTGTTATAGGTTCTGTTGTTGTTCCACCTGTCAGGATAACAAGGACTGTTTTACTTGTTGCTGGGTCTGCTGAAATGCTTGAAAGATTTTCTGAAACTCCTTTTGCTGTTCCGCTGCCCAGCGCAGAAGATTTCAGACAAGCCCCCAGTTCTCATAGGGTGGGGTTCCCTCACACTGGATTCCTTACTGCAAAGAATCCTCATGCACGCCAGTGACAAGTTCTGTGTTTTATTTACAATGTACTTTAAAAGTGTTTGTTCCCCACAGCACAAAGCTTTTCCCCAAGTCTTTTCCCTACTACCAAGGCACGGAGCGGGGTGAAGAGGAAGAGATCACAGTTGTCTGAGATCTTAAGCTTCTCTGGCCCTTCCTTCCAGCCCTCCCCATCTCTTGCTGTCTCTTTCAAACATCCTCAGCTAACGCGCTGAATCCCCTTGTTGATTTGGTAATCACCTGCTACTTAATCAATGCTTTCATCACTTTGGTTCATGTGGGAACACTGACCAGGTTCACAGAGAGGTGAGTCATACTCATTCTGTCATAAGATGTCTCAGCTGGAGTGAGTTTTTTGCACAAATAACACATGTTAACATGCAATTGGGCGTGTGCATCTGCAGGTGGTCAGTTAGGCACACAAATAGCCATTTGCATGCACACATTTACATGTGCAATTACCCTGCCCATCTTTGAGAGTCAGGCCCTTTGTCTCTTAATGAAAGAGGCAAGTTATTTGCTGCAACGTGTGTTAAACTACTGTGTGAAGCACTGAGGCACTTCTGTTTATTCACCCAGTTAGTTAGTGGCCTCATTTGGTCCCTTTGATACCCTGACATTCTGGTCTCTTTGCAGTATAGTTACTTGGCACCTCAACTTGAATTCAATGCTGTGGTGTTTGTGCAGAGGAAGCAACACCTCCGAGTGGACAGCGCTGTGGATCTCTATGGTAGGAGAGTGACACCTCACCAGCAAAAGAGGGATTTAGGAAATGGGACAAGGGGTAGCTGGGAAAATTTAAATTGAGACTGTTGCTGTTCAGTGTGTCCTACAATAGTCCCATCACTGGGAAATTAGGGGCAGCCCTTAAGCCTGGATGTTACAGGCTCTGAGTTGTTACTTTGTGTGTTGATGCCAGATGCTTGGTTGCTGGGGTCATTCTGTGCATTGTTGGGATTTTAATAGATGCCCTTTTGAATGTCATTCCTCTGCAGTAACTCTCTATAACTGCTCCATGGGACACTCTGATTGCAGCCGCTGCCAAACGGCTGACTCCAAGTATAACTGTGTGTGGTGTGGAGGGGAGCGGCCCAGCTGCATCTTCCGAGGATCCTGCACAGAAGAGATAGCGGACATATGTCCTGCACCACTCATTTATTCAGTGAGTAACCAGTACTCTTTACTGTACTGCACTCAAGGGCAATGGGGGTTCCACAAAGCAGCCAAAAAAACCTCACTGATAGTCCAAATAGCAACAACGGTTCCTCTCCCACTGTTAATTCTTCAACACTGAGAGTTCGGAGAGCCTGACACAAAGTGCTAGAGTGCAACCAATCTGTAGTAGCCAAGATGAAAGAAACAAATGTATACCTCAGACCAATTGAAACCAATATGCAGGAAGCTGCTGGATCCAGGAATTGGGGATGAAGTCCAAAGAGTGGAATCCCCTTGCTGTCCTAAGCCAGTGATTGGGATAGACTAGCATAGTGATAGCCGAGACTGAAATAATGAAGGTGCACAAGGTGAAGTGACAGTGACTTGGCAGGGATGGAAGAGGGAGCAGAGGTTAATAATAATTCTGGTTTATTAAAAAAATAAAAATCTTTTTGACCTATCCCTTGCTGAGTACCGTAGAGTATGTGTCTGTAACCCTGTGTCCCCCTTGCTGTCACCTTGTCCTCCTTCCAGTGACATGCTATACCCACTTGATGCTTCTTGTCATTATTTCTCCTATATACTCTTAGGGGCATGAACTGTCTTTTGATTGTGTTTTTGTGCAGCACCTAGCGCAGTGGGGCACTGAACCTATGGGAGAGCCTCTGGACACTACTGCAATACAAGTAATAGATAGCAGCTCATATAATAGCTCCTCATCACCAGAGCCCCCAGAGAAGCAGTCAGTGCAGCAGTGAGTAGGCAAAGGATGGGCTGCCACAGCTGTTCTAAAGGGGAATTTAATGGAATTATACCTTTGTGAAGATCAGTGATAAGACCGAAGTGTGGGAAGGAGGAGGGCACGGATCCTAGGTCTCTCATTTACAGCACTTTACTCCTGCTGGAATTCTGCACCATTGTACAATGCAAAATTTGTGCAGAATTAATGTTCCTCACAGAAATTTTTTTTTTTCACGCAGAATTTGTGATTTCCCCTTGAGCACTCCCACCTGCTGTCAGCCCCGGGCATCTGGGGCTCCCGTTGATTATACTGTATTATTTTGACAAATAAAATATGTGGCATTTTACAGATTTTAAAAATATTGTGCACAGAATTTTTAATTTTTTGGTACAGAATTCCCCCAGGAGTAGCCCTTCCTGCTTATGATGTTAGAGCAGCTACTCTATAGCAAGAGAACCTGACACAAGTCTTGGCCAGCAAAAAGTGTCTCCGATGTCCATCCCAGGAAGAGGACAGAACTTAGGCTTTTTTGGGTCCAGCATCATATTAGGCTGCCAGCATCTGAGGTGCTATGAAATGAACACATGCTTGGGTATCTTTGCAGGTTTATCCCCTGTCTGGACCAGTTGAAGGTGGCACTAGACTCACTATTGCAGGCTCAAACCTCGGCCAGAAACATCAGGATATTGCAGAAACTGTTACGGTTGCAGGAATTCCTTGTGCTGTAGATGCTCAAGAATATGAAATCTCCAGCAGGTAGAGTATCTGTGAAACTCCCACAGGGAATGAGACATTGGGTTTCCCACTGGGCCACTGACATCAGAATGGGGTAATTTCCCACCCCCTCCCTAGCCATGGTAACCTGGATCAATACCTTCTGCCTCAGGAACTGAGCTGCCTTTTGCACCTTCCAAAGAGTAGTGACACCCCAGTAAAGCAATTTTCCCCACCTACTCACCTCTTGGGCATTGAATTTGAACAGAAGCTGTTTATTTTTAAAGAGGCCTGACCCCTAGCACTCATCACTCCCAACAAAAACAGCTAATGTAATACAGTCTTGATAAAAATATCAGACTGAAATAAACACGCTCTGAAAAACAGGGAGGGGAAAGGAGGGAAATGTTCAAGAAAAGCCAAAACACCTTTGTTGGCATCAGTTAAATTTTAGAGGGCAAGAGGCTGAGACTAATGTGAATGGGGAGTGAGGTCCTCTGTAGCAAAGACCTCATCACCTGACAACCTGAAATGAGGCACTGGGATTCCTTATAGGGAGAGGGTGCCAGGTACAACCTGTCAGGAAGAGTCTCAAAGAGGAAGTCTGAGATACAGCCAAGGCCTACTTCTAAGGGCTTTAAAGACCATTGAGCCCAAGGTTAATCCATCACTTTACAGGCATCAAATGTAAAGAGCTCTGAGGCGGTTTAGTTTGGTCACATGTACTCAAGCCAGTGAGCAGATCATGCTGCCACATTCTGAACAAGCTGCCAGTGCCAGAAGAGCGCTTCTCCTGCTAAATAAACCATGTGACCCCAAGGCCAGGTGTTGCTGTTGCTTGTGCAAGTTAATCACAGGATAGAAAAGGCTGTTGCTTGTGCAAGTTACACAGCTGAAAAAATACCATCTCATACCACAGCCAACAGGTAGCTTAATATGGGAATAGTGTTGATGGAGGTGACACCATGATTCTTATTCCTGCTTACAGCCTCCAGACAGAGCTGGAGCATCATCATAATGACAACCTCCACCTACCAGCAAAACCAGGGTGAAAATGAGGCAGCTTTCAGATGGCAAAATCCTCTTAGCCAGAGATAGTCAAACTGTTCTCCATGGAGCCCTGGTGGGCCCCAGATGACATGCTGGTAGCCAGCAAGTGGCTGGCAGGGCACATGATGCTGGCACCTGGTCCTTGTGTCAAGGCTCTTCATCACAAACTGGAGTCTAAAGATTTCTAGAGGCATCTTTAAAGGAGGAGGAGGAAGGGAAACAAGATCTACCTTCAGAGACTGGAGCCAGAAATGGGATAGGAATGTCCATGAGAGAAGAGAATCAGGTAGCTGGACAGTATGTCTAGGGGATCAGGTGAAGGAAGGGGGCCATAAGAATGTGGCTGGGCAACACAGGCAGGTGAGAGGAGGCCTAGGCCACAGGAAAACAAGTGCAGGGGAGCAGGGCTGCTGGGAAGCACAATCAAGGGAGCAGGCAGAAAGGAACCAGGGAGTATGGCAGCAAACACAGGAGGATAACAAGGGAGCAGGCATCTGGGACACATGGGCAGGGGAGGGAGAAGAACTGAATGGACATGGGAGGTGGAGCAAAGAGCAAAGCAGAATGTCTGAGTATCCTCTTATCATGGCAAGGGCTGTTACAATTACATTGCTTCTGTCCCATGTCAGCAGCTCCCTTACCCCTGGGAATCGAGTAGGATCCTCTGGGAAGTGGCCATGGGAACTCCTGCTGTCAGCCGTAGCTCCAGCACCAGTCTAAGGGCTCACAGGGCAGGAGGTGCACTTGCATGTTATCAGTGAACGGATGACTCTGTGCAGCATTTAGTAATGTCTTGCCAAGAGGCCTTATACTTAGGTTGGGGATTGTAGCACGATGACTCCCCTCTTTGGTAGGGTTGCCTGATTCCTCTTTACAAGCCAGTGCATCCAGTGAGTGCAAACCACAGAGGGAAGGGCAGAAGCCCAATGTTAAGTGGAAGGCCCCATTTTGTCCATGGGAAGAGAGAGGGTGGTTGTGAGCCAGGAATTTACCTCCCCAGAATTCATCTCCTCTTAGAAATCACCATCACAGACCCCCTGTTTAGGAGAATGGTCCAAGAACATGCTACCAGTGTAATTCCACTCAGCACATGAGAAATAATTGCCTTAAACTAAAAGAATCTAAGCCATAACCCATATTAATGCATTTGTCATTAACCAAGGAGCCTAGAGGCCCCTGATTAAATTTGTGAGGTCTGACCCAGATGTAGTAGACTTGGAAGTTGAGATTGCATAATACGGAGTGACAGTGGGGCTCAGATTTCTCTGGTCAGGGAAAGCATGGTCAGAGAGAGTGACATTTTGGTGTTGGGAAGATCTTAAATTCCTGTACGTTTGTCTATAGTGCATTTGGATGGGAAGGCACAGAAGGTATCTTAAAAGTTGGGATGTTGGATTGCATTACTATGGAAATACTGGTGGGGACTGACGACTTAACCATGACTCAGACTGTTCATGTTGTAACCCATAGTAAAAAGGAATATTGTTCTATAATCCCAGACAAGATGGTGAAAACACAGAAACTACTGTGGTGGGAGAAGAATATACTTCCACCTCTGTTTCAGCAGAAGAAAGCAGTGTGCATTCAAGTGTTGGAAGGTCGATTCATACTCCTGATTCAGAGTGGTAGCAGTGTTAGTCTGTATCAGCAAAAAGAACGGGGAGTACTTGTGGCATCTTAGGCTTGGTCTACACTACGGGGTTAAGTCAAATTTAGCCGCATTAGGTCCATTTAAAAATGAATGCGTCCACACAACTAACCCCGTTCCGTCGACCTAAAGGGCTCTTAAAATCAACTTTTGTACTTCTCCCTGGCGAGGGGAGTAGTGCTAAAATCGACTTTGCTGGGTCGAATTTGGGGTAGTGCCGACACAAATCGACGGTATTAGCCTCCGGAAGCTATCCCAGAGTGCTCCATTGTGACCGCTCTGGACAGCACTTTGAATTCCGATGCACTAGCCAGGTACACAGGAAAAGCCCTGGGAACTTTTGAATTTCATTTCCTGTTTGGTCAGCGTGGCGAACTCAGCAGCACAGGTAACCATGCAGTCCCCCCAGAATCGTAGAGCGCAGAATGTTTCTATGCAACCCCCATCATCTCTGTCCCTGAGGTTATTGCAGATTAGAAGGCGAAAAAAACGCACTCGCAATTACATGTTTTCCGAGCTCATGCCGTCCTCCCGCACTGATAGGGCACAGCTTTTACTGCATGGAGGCATTCAGTGGCAGAGGCCAGGAAAGAATTAAGTGAGCGTGAAGAGCGGAGGCAGGACGCGATGCTGAGGCTAATGGGGGAGCAAACGGACATGATGAAGCGTCTGTTGGGGGAGCAAACGGACTTGATGAAGCATCTATTGGAGCTGCAGGAAAGCCAACAAGAGCACAGACCCCCGCTGCATCCACTGTATAACCGCCTACCCTCCTCCCCATGTGCCATAGCCTCCTCACCCAGATACCCAAGAACGCAGGGGGGGAGGGGGGGGAGGCTCCAGGCACCCAGCCACTCCACTCCAGAGGATGGCCCAAGCAACAGAAGGCTGTCATTCAAACAGTTTGATTTTTAGTGTGGCCACAATAAGCAATGTGGCCTTGTCCTTCCCTCCTCCCCCACCCCACTCGGGCTACCTTGTCCGTTATCTCATTTTTTTTAATTAATAAAGAAAGAATGCATGGTTTCAAAACAATAGTTACTTTATTTCGAAGGGGGGAGGGTGGTTGGCTTAAAGGGAATTAAAATCAACAAAGGGGGCGGGTTTGCATCAAAGAGAAACACACACAACTGTCACACCGAAGCCTGGCCAGTCATGAAACTGGTTTTCAAAGCCTCTCTGATGCGCAGCGCGCCTTGCTGTGCTCTTCTAATCGCCCTGGTGTCTGGCTGCTCAAAATCGGATGCCAGGTGATTTGCCTCAACCTCCCACCCCACCATAAATGTCTCCCCCTTACTCTCACAGATACTATGGAGCACACAGCAAGCAGCTCGCCGCTGGGGAGCAGGAGAGCAGAGTTGCAGGGGAAGTGATGGAGCCATACACCATGCCCTGGAGGTTGCTAGGAGCCGGGCAGGGAAGATGTTCCCAGAACCCCCAGCCAAGCTACATGTCCGACAAGGACAGTTACCAGTCCTACGGCACCGTCTGCTGCCAGCAGCACCCAGGAGGACCAGTACAGATCCCCCGAGCTCGTCGCTTGGGAGCAGGAGAGCAGAGTTGCAGCAGAAGCGGTGGATGATGACTGTTAGCAGTCCTACTGCACCGTCTGCTGCGAAGGCAAGGAGCTGCTGCTGTGTAGCAGTGCCAGCTGCTGTAGGTGCTTCTCTGTCTAATGCTTGGAGGTCCTGGTAGGGCAAGGTACCTCGGCCAAGGCAAAAGAGCAATAGCCCTGGAGCTGTTATATGTGTCAACCACAGAAGTGCTATGGGGTGTTACAGCGCCGACCGGACTGGAATGTACGGCTGCAAGACTTCTTCACCAGCGACAAAGGACAGGAATATGATGCACCTAAAATCTAAAAAGGCCCGCACATTTCACAGAGTCACTACCCTTGATAACAGAACGTCAGTGATCGCATTGGCTACTTGGATCACAACAGCCCCCACAGTAGACTTGCCCACAACAGCAGCGGTGACAGTGAGCTGAGCGGGCTCCATGCTTGCTTGGTATGGCATCTGCACGGTTAACCCAGGAAAAAAGGCACGAAACGATTGTCTGCCGTTGCTTTCATGGAGGCAGCGGTGACTGACGATATGTACCCAAAAACACCTGCGACAATGTTTTTGCCCCATCAGGCATTGGGAGCTTAACCCAGAATGTCAATGGGCAGTGGAGACTGCGAGAACTGTGGGATAGCTACCACAGTACAATGCTCCGAAAGTCGATGCTAGCCACGGTAGTGAGGACACACTCCGCCGACTTAATATGCTTAGTGTGGACATATGCAATCGACTGTATAAAATCGATTTCTTAAAATTGACTTAATTTCGTAGTGTAGACATACCCTTAGAGACTAACAAATTTATTTGGGCATAAGCTTTCGTGGGCTAAAACCCACTTCATCGGCTGCATGCAATGGAAAATACAGTAGGAAGATATATATACACAGAGAACATGATAAAATGGGTGTTGCCATACCAACTCTAACAAGACTAATCAATTAAGGTGGGTTAGTCTCTAAGGTGCCACAAGTACTCCTCATACTCCTGTGTAGCGGAAGAAAACGTGCTCTCGGAGCTAACGGGAGGAGTTAAGCCCTGTTACTGAAGAAGCTATCCCTATTGTCAGCTGGCAGTATTCTGCAGATGAACAAAGGACAGATCTCCCTCTAGGTTCTATAGGGGGACAGGTCCTAAAGGGGACCCCAGTGAAGGGCAATGTGGAAAGAACGAAAGTCCTGGGAAACCTTACAAGCAACTATTTGTGCCTGCCCAGCACTGTGGGGATTTAATGTTGCTAGCCCACAACTGCACTTTTGCTGGTCACTTGGAGGCACTGAGAACTTACAATAGGTTAAAGAAGAATTTTTACTGGCCAGGAATATAGACTGATGTTGGAGACTTTTGTAGATCTTGTGAAGAAAAAGACCTGCAGGACCCCAAAAAGTCCTACACCCCTTGCCTGTGATACAGGAATCATTTTATGGGGTAGAAATGGACACTGTGGGCCCTATGCCACATCTTACCCAAAGGGCAAAAAATATATCCAGGTGTTAGTGGATTTTGCCAAAGTAGTTGCTGTAACTAACATAGAGGCTGACTCTGTGGCAAAAGCCCTTTTCACTATTTTCAGCGAAGTGGGTTTCCCTGAAGAGATTTGATCAGATTGAGTCAAATTTCATGTCCCAGCTATTCAGTGAATTATGGAAGTTGTGTGGAGTGAAACAACTAAACACCACCCCATATCATCCAGAGACAAATGGTTGGGTGGAAAGGTTCCATGGGGCACTGAAATCAACATTGGGAATGTACGCAAACAAGAGAGCCAATGATTGGGATGAAATGTCATCCTGTTCGCTTATAGGGTGGTTCCCCTGGAACCCACAGTATTTGCCTCATTTGACCTTCTATTCAGAGGGAAAGTGAGAGGACCCCCAGATCTCATCAGGGACTCCTGGGAAGTGGACACTGAGGCAGAGGGAGAACCGGTAACTGAATATGTGCAGAGATTCAGGAAGTAGTTAAGACATGATGGAGATGGTTGAAACTAACCTCAGAGACAGCCAATACAAACAAAAGGTGTGGTATGATGAACATATTTGAAAACGTTCTTTTGAAATAAGGGACTTGGTGTTAGTGCTAAGCACTGTGGAAAAAAATACAAAATGAAAAACTCATGGGAGGGACCGTTTGAAGTGATAGAAGAGGTGAATGAAGGTATGTATCATGTTAAAAGACCTCACAGTAAAACAGCTGGTTCACATAAATAGGTTTAAAAGCCTATCACAGCAGGGAAGCTATGGTAACATGATTTGTTGTGTGGAAGGAGAAAATGAGGCATCCACCTCATTGATTTAATGGTTGAATGCCAAAATGATTCATCACTTGACCGTATTGAAATAAGCAGTCAGTTTGGGAAGATATAAGGTGAGAGAAGAAGCCATCTTGGCATCCATCACTGGACAGATACAAGGGGCCAGATGAGTCTTTCAACCAAGGGGGTTGAAGACTCTGGGAACTGAATATAAATGAAAAACCTGCTTTGGCAAAGATCTTTCACCTGAGAACACAATGAAAACAAGCACCTTGTACAGCTGTGGAAGTGCCTGACTGAGAGAGAGTCAGCCATGGCTGGAAAGAAAAAAAATTATAAGAAATCTACCTTGAACCCAGCTGTACCATGATGAGTTAAGTCTCAGCCACTAGAAAGTGTATCTTACTTTTATTTGCATGTAACTATTTTTCTTTATCCCTTGTATTTGAATTCACTTAAAACCTGTCTCTTGTTAATAAACATGTTTTATTTTTGATCTAAACCGACCCAGCTTTTTTTCAATTGAAGTGATTGTTAACTCCAGTTAAGGCAACAAGCTACTGTGCTTTTCTCTCTTTAAAGGAGCAACAGACTTTAGTCCAGCAGAAGGCTGGACATTTCAGGGCAGATGGTTTTGGGGAAATTCAGATCTGGGGTGTGTGTTGGGGTCAGTTGGTGAGAAGTAACAAGCGCTGCAGGAAGTGCGGCTATGCAAACGAGACCCTGCCCCACATCCTGTGTGGATGCAAACAGCACTCCGGAGCCTGGCGGCACCGCCATAACACCATCCAAAACCGGCTGGTGAAAGCCATCCCGCCGTCCCTGGGGAAGATCACCCTCGACTCCGCCATCCCCGGGACAGACAGCAGACTGCGACCCGACATCGTCGTGACGGACGCAGAAAAGAAGAAGGTCCTCATTGTAGACGTCACGGTGCCTTTTGAAAACCGGCTACCGGCCCTCCACGAGGCCCAAGCACGGAAGACGTCGAAGTACACCCCGCTGGCCAAGACCCTGAGAGCCCAGGGCTACGAGGTCCAGATACACGCCCTGATCTTGGGAGCACTGGACTCCTGGGACCCCCACAACGAGCCGGTTCTGAGAGCGTGCGAAGTTGGTCGATGCTACGCCCGGCTCATGAGACAGCTCATGGTGTCCGACACCATCAGGTGGTCCAGAGACATTTATACGGAACACATCACAGGACACTGTCAATACCACACTGAGTAACCGAGACCGCCGACCAGGGAAATAACCCACTTCCTTCCCTGACAGACGAAGGGACGCACCCCACCCATGTACTTATCCGCTACACTGATACTGTCTTGGACTCCTTATTCATTCCATGGGTGGCGTACCCGAGCCCACTTATCCACTGACACTTTAAAAACTCTTGCACCCCAATCTGGGTCTATGCCGGCTATGTGATGTGTATGTATCTCTTCACCCTTGCAACCGACACCTGTAATCCCTCATAACCCAAGCCTGACCCCAGATGTACAGTACCTTGCCTCTTAACTCGTGTATATTTCATTTTAAACATTCACTCTAATAAAAATTTTAAATCTAGACTAATGGAGACCAACGTGTGGCTGTGGTGTAACAAGCAGGCTGCTGGACTGCTCAGCAACAAGACACTCAGTGCATGCTTAGATGCTATCTGGGAGCATGCAGGCCAGGAGCTGCAGCAGCAGAGCATTTTAAGGCACTCAGGGTTACAGGACAAGCAGTGACACAACCTCTCACTGGTCTGCATTGCACCCCAAAATGTCACCTCTAGAGTGACATTGTTCTCTGATTTCCCTGCAGTATTGTGTGCATCACCGGTGGAAGCTGGGCTGAGAGATCTGGGCACATTGCAGTGGAAGTACCTGGAGGAGGACATGGAGTTTCTGGGCACATATTTGCCTATCAGGTAACATCTCAGTTCAAACCTCTCTCGTACTGCTTCTGTAAGACTGCAGCTGCACTGCTATTCTCTGTTCACAGATTCTCTTGGAGAGTGGGAGTTGTGTAGGTCATAGAATCATAAAAATATAGGGGTGGAAGGGACCTCAAGAAGTCATCAAGTCCAGTGCCCTGCGCTGTGGCAGGACCAAATAAACCTAGACCATCCCTAATGGGTGTTTGTCAAACTTGTCTTTAAAAGCTGCCACAACCTCCCTTGGAAGCCTATTCTAGAGCTTAATATCTAACCTAAATTGCCCTTGCTGCAGATTAAGCCCATTACTTCTTGTCATACCTCAGTGGACCTGAAGAACAATTGATTGCTGTCCTCTTTATAACGACCCTTAACATATTGGAAGACTGTTATCAATTTATTCCTCAGTCTTCTTTTCTAAAAACTAAACATGCCCAGTTTTTGTTTTTTTTTTAACTTTTCCTAATAGGTCAGGTTTTCTAAGCCTTTTATCATTATTGTTGCACTCCTCTGGACTCTTTCCAATTTGTCCACGTCTTTCTTAAATTGTGCTGCCCAGAATTGGACACAGTACTCCAACTGGGCCTCACTAGTGCTGAATAGAGTGGGACAGTTACCTCCTGTGTCTTACATACAACACTCCTGTTAATACGCCCCAGAATTGTATTAGCCTTTTTTGCAGCTGCATCACATTATTGACTCATATTGAGTTTGTGGTCCACTATAGCCCCCAGTTCCTTTTCAGCAGTACTACCACCTAGACAGTTTCCCCATTTTGTAACTGCCTTTGATTTTTTAGTTTCCTAAGTGAAGTACTTTGCACTTGTCTTTATTGAATTTCATCTTGTTGAATTCAGACCAACTCTCCAATTTGTCAAAGTCATTTTGAATTTTAAACTTGTCCTACAAAGTGCTTGCTATCCCTCCCAGCTTTGTGTCATCTGCAAATTTTATAAGCATACTTTCCATCCATTATCTAAGTCATTAATGAAAATATTGATTAGTACCAGACCCAGGACTGACCCCTGCAGGACCCCACTAGATATGCCCTCCCAATTTGACAGCAAATCATTGATAATTATTCTTGGAGTACGGTCTTTCAACCAGTTGTGCACCCACCTTATAGTAATGTCATCTAGACCACACTTCCCTAGTTTGCTTATGAGAATACCATTCAGAACTGTGTCAAAAGCCTGACTAAAATCAAGGTATATCACATCTACTGCTTCCCCCCTAGCCAATAGGTCAGTAACCCTGTCAAAGAAGGAAATTAAATTGGTGTGGCATGATTTGCTCTTGACAAATTCATGTTGACTATTCCTTATAACCCTATTATCCTCCAGGTGCTTACAAATTGGATTGTTGAATAATTTGCTACAGTATCTTTCCAGGTATTGAAGTTAGGCTGACTGGTCTATAATTCCCTGGGCCCTCCTTGTTCCCGTTTTTAAAGATAAGTACTATGTTTGCCTTTCTCCAGTCTTCTGGGACCTCTTCCTTCCTCCAGGCGTTCTCAAAGATAATTGCTAATGGCTCAGAGATTGTTTAAACCAGTTCCTTAAGTACCCTATGATGAATTTCATCAGGCCCTGCTGACTTGAATACATCTAACCACCTCTGGGCCACTGGCAGCACCATTGACTCCACCCCGTGGGTCATTGAGGCCAGTGTGGGACCCGCTACTGACACCAGGAAGTCATCACAGCACTAGCGGGATCACAGTACCTTCCACCCTGGATGCCTTTGCAGTGGCCAGGGACTTACTATCACTCCCAGTACCACTGACCCCGAAGTTGCAACCACTGGCTCCGATGAGCATGACAAGCAGAAGGGAACATGTGGCCCTGAGCTGTTACCTGGTACCGGGGCCCACAGTACCAGCCAGAGACAAACTGGCCCTTCTATCATCTATGAGGTCATCCCCAATATGGTACTGGTTCCTGGACTCGTGGCACCGACCAGCGGAAGTGAGGGGTACTGGTCCCCCATGGTTATCTCAGGAGGACTCTTCTTCAGAGTCTGAGGTGGAACCCTACGCCCATCCTGAGAGCTGCTGCCAGTACCCATCCTATATCCCTTCAGAACCTGGTGTAGGTCACGCCACTGGCACCTGACCAGGAGGACAATGGCCGATACAAGTCCAGTGGCTTGGAATCCATGGGGATTTCCCTCGGTACTGGGACTGCCATCCCACCGAAAGACGTGGGCCCGCGGGACGTAATAGGGGCACAAGAAGAGGAGGAAGCTTCACCTCCAGTTCAGGCCTCTTGCTCTTCCTCCCCAGATGAAGCCATCTTGGGGCGAGTGGCTTGCTGCCACAAGATGACTTTAGAGCCCATCAAGATCTTCTAAAGAGGGTAGCTTCTAACTGCAGACTAGAGATTGAAGTACTCAAGGAGTCTTCGCATAGTCTCATTGACATCTTGGCTGCAGCAGCCCCATCTAAAGTGGCCCTACCCATCAACAAGGTCATTATGGATCCGGTCAGAGCCCTGTGGCAGACCCCATCTTCTCTCCCTCCCACTTCAAAGAAGGCAGAGAAGAAATACTTCATGCCGGCCAAGGAGTACAAATACTTACATTCTCACCTTTCTTCCGGGTCCCTAGCAGCCAATGAGAGACAGACAGACAAGGCCAGGCAAGCGCTACCCCCAAACAAAACAACTCAAAGAAGCTCGGCTTGTCTGACAGAAAAATTTATTCAATGGGCGGATTACAGCTTCGTATCTCTAACCAGCAAGCTGTGCGTGGGAGGTATGATGACAATATGTGGGACTCTATGGCAAAATTAAAAGACTCGCTGCATCAGGACTCCAGGCAAGAGTTTTCTGCCCTTTTTAGATAGATATTAGTTAGTATACAAGGTGTTTCTTGTTCACTGGGAGGCTATGTCCGGTTCTGCCAGTTTCAAATGTTGTCTGTCATGCCCGGAGGCAATCCCAGTAAGTGATGGGTGCTCCTGGTGCATCTGTTGCCTTGGGAAATCTCACATTGCCCAGAAGTTTAACGTCTGTCTGGCATTGAAATCTAGCGCTAGAAAAGACAGGGAGGTCAAACTTAGTCTCCTCCCCGGCTTCTGACCCAGGCCCAGTCATGCCTCCTCCTCCATCCTTAGCAGATGATTTTAAACAGCTCCTGGATCTGATCAAGAGAATTGCTGACTCCTTGCAGATCCCTCTTGAGGAGATTAAAGAACATCATTGTAAATTGCTTGATATCCTTCATTCACCCTCATCTGCCCACATAGCTTTGCCTGTCAACAAGGCCCTTTTGGACCATGTGAAGATTGTCTGGCACACCTCAACTATTATTCCACCTATCTACAAGGAAGTGGATAAGAAATATTCCGTGGAAGGCAGCACTATGCTAAATTCACGTTCCATGAAAAAGACCATAAGCATCTAGATGTACTTGGTAGAAAGTCTTATTTGTCAGCCTCCTTACAATTTAGAGTCCCCTACTACCAGGCATTAATTGTGAAATATTATCATGTAAATTACAGCACACTGAACTCTTTCGTTGATTGCCTACCAGCAGAGCATAGAGAGCAATTCTGGCAGTCGTTGTGGAGGGTCAGCTACTTGCCAGAACATCTCTACAAGCCTCCCTTGATACTGCCGCCCATTCTTTCTCTACTGCTGTAGTTATGAGAAGGGCTTCGTGGCTCCAGCTCTCTGGCTTTCCAAAATAGGGTAGAGGACCTTCCTTTTGATGGGTCTAAACTGTTTGCAGACAGCACGGACAAATCTCTGTGCATGTTAAAGGACTCTAAGGCTATTTTGCATTCTCTTGGGACCTATATACCTGCCTACAAGAGAAGCTTTCGCAAGTCCCAAACGGTTCAAAGATCCCATCCTGCCCAATTCCTGACATCCCAGTGGCTGTATGAATGACATCAAGAGAGACAGAAATTCCAGAGTAGGAAACCATCCACCTCTCAGCCTTCCACCTCACATCTTTCTTCCTCCAAGGAGCAACTTTGACTGGCTGGTTGAGGGCCTGAATTACGATTTTCATCCTTAGCAGCTGCACCAATTCACCTGCCTTCCTCCCTTCGGCAACCGCCTTTACCACTTCACGTGGGCTTGGGAGTCGATCACTACAGACAAGTGGGTTTTGGAGATCATCTCCAAAGGGTACACGTCCATGTTACATCCAGTTTTGGAGAAAGAATCCACTAGATTGTATCCAGCATATTTACTTGATTTTCACTGTTATTACAGTCTGTTTAAACAGTTAATCTCAGGCTCATGTCTGAGGCTGATATTTTTGTAGCCTGCAGTGTCCATCTTTGTTCATTACCTGCAGAGAGATTTTGGTGCACAGCTAGTGTTTCCTATTGGTACCTTAATCCCCCTCTCTGCTGCTTCTATTCTTTAACAGCAGAGCTGTGGTTAGAACATGCAAACTGCAGTCTCAGAGCACATGGAACTCACTATCAGGGTCTCTCTACTATGTCTTTCCTTCACTTATTTTGCTAAGTGTTTTTCATTCATTCATTTCTCTCTTTTCTTTCCATTCAGAACCCAGACCTGAAGTCCGTTGCTCCATCTCAAGGCCCTAAAGCTGGAGGAACCTGCCTTACCCTGCTAGGCTCCAAGCTGTTGACTGGGCGCCCCAGTGAGATCAGCATTCTAATTGGAGACCTCCCTTGCCACATGTAAGAGCTGCTGTCTAGCTGCAGATTGTAACTGTAAACAAAGTGCCATGCGCCATTCCCTTCAGGTTTGGCCCAGGCTTCTCACTAGAAAGCACTTCAGCCATTCACTCTAGCAGCAGTGATGGCTAGCTCAGAACTTTGTCTTGAGTGCTCCTGTTTGTAAGGGTAGTAGATGGGACACAAGGCCTTTAAGAAGGGGGGCGTTAAACCTGAGAACAAGCTGGGGGGATGCTTGGAGCTCTTTCAGCAAAATGAAGGGCGCAGCATTTCAGAGGATGTTTCTGCAATAGCTGTGTTAACCCTTTATTGGTCTCTCCTCTGTGTGTCTCTTAGTCTCTCTGAGATGCAGGAGAATCAGCTACAATGTCAGACGAGCCCCAGTAACATGTCTGTGGAGCTTCCAGTAACTATCAAATATGGACACACGGAACGGAGATTAGAAGGTTTCCTCTTCAAATACACTCTGGATCCCAATATCACTTTTGCAGAGCCAGCCAAGAGCTTCCTCAGGTACTGAGAGATGCACCCCTGGCATTGCAAGTGCACCACTCTTCCCACAGGGCATCAGGAATACTGAGAGCTGCGCATGCATGCATGCTCACATTCCCACAGCAGATACCAGAGCATTAACTGTGTCTGTATGGATGTCTAAGTAGTTTTACTGCACTTATCACCTTCGTATCTGAGCATGTGGGTAGAGTGAGTCCAGACTTGTGCATTGAGCCATCGGATGGATGCATTCCCCACAAAGGTTGGCACCAGCCATAGGTCGGGGATGACACAGCTCGTGGGTTGTTATGTGGTGACTAAATATGTGACTCTGACTGCTTCTGTGTGTTGCAGCGGTGGGAGAGTGATCCGAGTTCATGGACATAACCTAGATGTTGTACAAAATCCAAAGATCCGGATTACGATTTCACCATCAGAACGCCGCCGGAGAGGGCTGGGGAGATGGCGTAGGATCATGCCAGAAACCGAGTGCTCACAGAATGCCCTGTGCAGCATCCAGCAGGTATCTTGACCTTTGTGCTGGCAAAGCATGCAATAGAATTGAGGCTGAAGGCCTCTGTCAGTGCTACTGACCTAATGGCCAGAGACGACCTATATCAGGGGCTTTTGTGCCCCTTGTTATAGCCTTCTTGGGTCCTACAAACTAACTGTGAACATGAGAAACAAAAAGTCTTCCTTGGTGAAACATTGTCCTCCAAATTCAAAGTTTAACACCCCCCTCCCCACTTTGTAAAATTCCAGCTCCCAAATCCCCATCTCTCCCCAGAGCCTGTGCAGAAACTTCCAGTGTGGGAGACAGAAATGACATGACAGCAGCAGAAGGCATGAGGAAATCTGCAATTACATTGTGAGACCTGTCTGCACAGTGCCCCCACAAAAACAGACTGCACCCTGTCCTAGCACGGCTCTGCCTTAGCAATACCAAGGCCCTGCCCCACACAGAGAGATGACAACAAAATCAAAGTTAAATGAAGTTGTTATATCCATAATTCTGCCTGCCATTTACAGCACCTCACCTGCCATCATGACTACCCCAGAAGAAGAGTCCCTGTGGAGCAGCTGCTCTAGTGTCTCAGACTGTATAGAGTCCATCTCAGTAGGGGCTCCAGCGTAGTAGGGTTTCATTTAACAGCCTGGTAGCCATAGCACAACACCCAGCTGGACCTCCACTGCTGCACATGTGCTCTACGTTAGTGAGGATATGTGCAGCAATGGAGGGCTTGGTGCACATCCCCACTTCCTCTGAAATGCTGACCTCTGCCCATCCCCTGCCGAATCCTATTGCACAGTTAGCAGATTGCATTATCGGGTGGCCACTTTTCTCTGAAATAGGTGGTGGTGCATTATTATTGTACTCATTTAAAAAGCACTCGTGACCACGGGGTGAATCTCTCTGGGTATACTAGTTACATCCTGGACTGCCACCTAACAGGATGCAGGACCGGTCAGGCCATTGATCTGCTCCATTGTGACAATTCATATGCTTTATCGAAAGCCATATTTCCCCATCATTCTGGACAGGTTTTATCTGTGGCTATGAATTCCAGTGGGGGAACAGAGACTGTCTGATATATTTAGATATTAATCTTTTCCCATGTTTACAAAATGTAAAAACATTGCAACGAAAGTAACAAAAATCATTGATAAATCAAAGCGGCTGCATGCTCAGCCCCCTAGGGGTATGCAGCTTCCCAGGCAGCTGAAGCACAGAAAACCCCAGTGAACAGATAGGCTTTGCAGCTGGCCACGAAAGTAAATAAACACTTTTTGTCAGATCAATGGGGCTGTGAATGCTAGAGCTAGGAGCTCTCTATGGGGAATGCCCCGCCCCGAAGAGTTGGGAGACCACTAAAATCACCTTGGAGAGTCCCTTAAAGTTCAGACTTGTCCTCTGCATCTGGGATGGGTGACTGGGATTCACCTAGACAGGGTGAGTGCAGGGGATTCCTGTGCTCTGCTTTACACTTGTCTCACAGAACCCTGATGATGGGATGCCACAAGGGAGCAGCAGTGTTAGAACAGAGGCTGACTTATTCTTTCAGATTCCTGACTCTCTTCCCTTCTGCTCCTAGTTTGAAGAACTGTGTCTCATTAACTCCTCCTACCTTGTCCTGTGTAAAACTCCGGCCATTAACCTGCTGTTGCGGATTGTCCAGGTCAAACTGGAATTTATTCTGGATAATCTAAGCTTCGATTTCAAGTCCTTGCATCCCACACCCTTCTCCTATGAAGTTAATCCAATCCTGAAACCCCTGAATGCTGAGGACCCTGCCAAACCATATCGGCACAAGCCAGGAAGTGTCATCTCTGTGGAGGTAAGGCTACAACCAGCTCAAAATCTCAATAAACACCACATAAACCTACTTCCTAAGTGATGGCCTGGGACTGTTCTGATATCCCGGCAGTGCCATAGGTCTTAATGGCACTTCACTGGCATACAGTAAGAAGGGCAATCCCTGCTTTTAGCAGCCTACAGCCTAAAGGAGATACAATCTGACACACAATGAGAAATGGCCCAACAGCTGAGGAAGGAGTGCAACAAAAAAGAGCCCTGTGCTGTGTGCATAGCTTGTTAGTGCCTTGCATTGTTGCTAGAGGGTTCTGTGGGGCTCGAGGAGAGCAATTAGAAATAAAACTGCAATATAGAACAAATGGAAAAGGGGGAAATAGACAGCAATCAATAGCAATTAGAAGTTATGAAGTGTAGAAAATTGATAGGAAAGATAAAGACATCAGGGAAGAATCTATGACAGGCGAGATGAAGGACATTAAAGGGTTTTAAAATATATAAGGAACAAAAAATCCTAGCAATGGTATAGGCCCACTACTAGATGGAGATGGTATAACTGTTAATAATGATGCTATCATGGGACGGCTTGCCCTTGAAGGGGAGTTGTGCCCAACTTCGCCTGTGACAGATCAGCTACTCTCCCAGTTGGTTATGATTGGCTAGAGATCATGTGGCCCTGTTCAATTCTTAGGCCCGGCTGATGTGCCTACTGAGAGCTCAGTTAGTAGTGGAAGCTGCAGAAGAGCAGTTGGCTTCTCTGGTAGGTGCTGTGGAAGGGTAACTTCCAGACAGATGGTCTGGAGGAGGACTGAAGAGCAGCAGGAGAGATGCAGACTCCTGCATTAGGCTCTGAGAGAGGCAAAGGGGAAAAGCCACTGGGAGCTATAGCCCAGGGTGGGCTCAGGAACTGTTTGTGTTTGAGGTTTTGCATTTGTAGGATAAAACTGTGTCTGGAAGAAGACTCTGGGTGAGTAGGCCAGCTGCATACAGAGTATGAAAAGGAGTGTTCAATAAATGTGTCTGTTCTGTATTTGGAAAGAAACGGGATGATGTACTCATATCACATGAAGATGTTGAACTACTTTCCAGTTCATTAGTAACTAAAGAAAATGGTAAACAACATCTACTAGGGATAAACATGTTTAAGCCACCAGCCCCGGATAATTTGCACTCAAGAACTGTAAAAGAAGTGACTGAGGAGATCTCTGTCCCACTGATGTCAATTTTTAATGAATGTTGGAATAGTGGGGAAATTCCAAAAGACTGAAGAGTGCTAGTGTTGTGCCAGTAGTCAAAAAGCGCAAATGGGATGATTCAGGTAACTATAGGTCAGTTAAGCTGATGTCAGTCCTGGACAAAATAATGAAAAAGCTGATATGGGATTCAGTTTATTAACAATTAAAGGATAGGAATATAATTAGTGCCAGTCAACATGATTTTATGGAAAATAGGTCTTATCAAACAAACCTGATTTCATTCTTCGAGATTACAAGTATGGTTGATAAAGCTGTAATATACTTAAACTTTTTACAGCACTTGACTTCATACCCTGTGACATTCTGATTAAAAAATGAGCACCATACAATATCAACAAAGCACACATAAGAATTGTAGTTGTCATGAGGAATCATTATTGAATGGGAGACTTTATAGTGGGGTTCTTCAAGGGGTCTGTACTAAGTTTGGTGCTATTCAACATTTTCATCAGTGATGGAAGAGTAAATATAAAATCGCTACTGATAAAATTTGCAGCTGACGCAAAGATTGACAGAGTATTAAATAATGATGAGGCCAGGGCAGTTGTACACAGCAATCTGGATCACTTGGTAAATTGGGCCCATTCAAACGAAATACATTTTAATAGAGCCAATTGCAAAGACCGTATCCTGGAAAGCAGTGTCTCTGGAAAGAATCTCAGAGTCCCAGTGAACAAGGAATTGAACCTGAGCTCCCAGTGCAATGCTGGGGCTAAAAGGACTAATGTGATCCTTGGACGTACAAACAGAGGAGCAGTGAGTAGGAGGAGGGAGGTGATTTTATCTCTGTATACGGCATTGGTGAGATTGATATTGGAATACTGCATCCAGTTCTGATGTCCACATTTTAAAAAGATGTTGAAAAAATGGAGAAGGTGCAGAGAAGAGCCACAAAAATTATTAGAAGGCTCGAGAAAATAGATTGCAGTGAGAGACTTAAAGAGCTCTATCTGTTTATCAAAAAGAAGCTTGAGAGGCGACATGACTACAGTTATAAGTATCATCACAGGGAAATAATACCCAGTACTAAAGGGCTCCTTAATCTAGCAGAGAAAGACAGAAAAAGAACCAATGGCTGGAATCATAGAATATTAGGGTTGGAAGAGACCTCAGGAGGTATCTAGTCCAATCCCCTGCTCAAAGCAGGACCAACGCCAACTAAATCATGGAAGCTGAAGCCAGACCCATTCCAATTAGAAATTAGGCACAAATTTTTAATAGTGACATCCTATAATGATGGATGAGATTATTTTTATCTAGCAAAGATTCCAGCTAGTCCTGTATCGCGTTGACAGGCCCTTTTCTTATGTTGAATATCTGCAAATTTGGTTTCCCAGAATCTCCAATGCAGAGGATGCCTGTCCATGCATAGCACCTTCATCTTCTTAGGGTTTCATGCTGCCTGCTCCCAGATGGCAAGCTTGCTTCCTGGTGAGACTAGGGAGGGAGTTAATAGGGCATTTGTAGAACTTTCAGCTTGCCCTGTTGTGGTTGACCTGTTAAATCCCGTGCAGCAGTGATGAGCTGCCAAAATCTGAACAACCGGTTCCCTCCTCACCCCACAAGGGGGTCGTGGCCCGCCCCCCGAGACTTCTGCCCCATCCAACCCCCGTGTTCCTTGATGCCCCGCCTGGGACTCCTGCCCCATCCAACCCCCTTTCCTGTCCCCTGACTGCCCCCCTGCCACCCCATCCAACCCCCCCTCCTTCCTGACTGCTCCCCTGGGACCCCTTGCCCCTATTCAACCCCCCCTGTTCCCCGCCCTCTGACCGCCCCGACCCCTAAACACCCCCCACCCCTGACCACCCCCCTGAACTCCCCTGCCCTCTATCCAACCCCTCCCTCCCCCTTACCGCACTGCCTGGAGGTGGCTGGCGGCGCTATAGCTGTGCCACTCAGCTGGAGCCAGGCCACGCCACCACCGCGCAGCGCCTGGAGCACTGGGTCAGGTTGAGCTCACAGCCCCCCTGCTTCCCGCGAATCAGCTGTTCGCGCGGGAAGCCTGGGAGGGCAGAGAAGCAAGCAAGCGGTGGCTTCGCGCTCAGGCCCAGGGAGGCGGAGCGGAGGTGAGCTGGGGTGGGGAGCGATTCCCCTCCACCCACGCACGCACGCACGCGCACACACACACACACACACACACACACCACCACCCCCCCCCCCCGGGTTACCTGCTGCTGCGGCGTGGGTGTCCCCCCTGCCCCAGCTCACCTCCACTCCGTCTTCACCTCCCTGGGGCTGAGCGCGAAGCCGCCGCTGGCTTCCTGTGCAAACAGCTGATTCGCGGGAAGCGGGTGGGAGGGGAAGAAGCGGGGCGGAGCGTTCAGGGGAGGAGGTGGAGGCGGAACGGAGGTGCGCTGGGGCCGGGGGGCGGGGCGGGAAGCTGGAGCACCCACGGGGTCGGCGCCTAAAGCGCCACTTTTGGATAATGTGCTCACGGGGAGCGGCCGCTCCCCCTGCTCCCCCTCCCAGCTACGCTCCTGGGTCACTTCAACTTACCAGTTGTTAAATTTAGAAGCCCTTTTAGAACTGGTTGTCCCGCGCAGGACAACCGGTTCTGAAAGGGCTTCTAAATTTAGCAACCGGTTCCCACGAACCGGTGCGAACCGGCTCTAGCTCACCACTGCCGTGCAGCCTCTCTAAAGCCAGGGATTATGCAGAGCTGCCTTCCCAGAGAGGCCCAGGTTTTATATCTTTTTCCACTTGTATTCCAGGGGGAAAATCTAGACCTGGCCATTTCCAAGGAGGAAGTGGTGGCCATGATTGGGGAAGGGGTCTGTGTTGTAAAAACCCTGACAAGGAATCATCTGTACTGTGAACCTCCATCCGAGCAGCCAGCTCCACGACATCGCACAAAGCTGGAGGGAACGGACTCGCTCCCAGAGTTTACAGTAAGAGCTCAGCTAAGCAGCAGAGACAGCAGTGGGTGTGGGAGTGTAAATACTGAATCAGTGGGGGCAGAAATCTACAAAGCAAAAAAACCCCACAGCAATGAGTCTCAGAGCCTGGGTTAACTGACAGCGCTCGCTCTATGCTCCCCCCTTCCCTGGGCTCTGAGACCCTTTCCCCCTTCCCTGGGTTTCAGCGCTGCTATTTTTTTGCTCCATAGCTTGAGCCGGAGTCAGTTGACCCGTGCCTTGAGACTTGCTGCTGCAGGTCTTTTATTTTGCAGAGGCACTGGTGGTGGGGGAGGAGGAGGCGGAGGTGCTGGTGGTGGGGAAAGGGGGGAGGGGGAGGTGGTGGGGAGACAGGTTCCGGTGGGGAAGAGACAGAAGCGCTGATGGTGGTGGGGAAAAGGAAGATGGAGGCATTGGTGGGGGGAAGGGAAGATGGAGGTACTGGTGGGGGTTGGGGAAGAGGAACACAGAGTCACTGGTGGGGGAGAGGGGGAGGCGGAAGTGCTTGTTGTGGTGCTGATAGTGGTGTGGGGTAGGGCAAGACAGTCAAGCATTTCCCTTGGAGTCCATGACTCAGTCTGCAGGATGAGGAGAGTCTGACGCTCTGATTTTGCCTGGGCTTGCATTTCTTCTGCAGGTGCAGATGGGGAATTTGAACTTCCTGCTGGGCAGAGTGCAATATGACACAGAGAGCCAGCTCACCTTCCCCCTGGAGGCCCAGATTGGCTTGGGTGTCGGAGCCTCCTTTGTTGCTTTGATTGTCCTGATCATTGTCTTCATCTACAGGTGAGAAGTGCCTGAGAGTGTGTCTATGCTGCCTCTGGAGGGATGATTGCAGATCTGGAAGGCATACCCAAGCTAACTGCAATCTCGCTAGCATTGCTGAAAATAGCAGTGAAGACATGGCTGCACAAGCTTCAGCAACATGAGTATGTACCCAGGTCCCTGGGCGTCTTGCACTGCCCATGCTGAAGCCTGTGCCACTGCCTCTTCGCTGCTATTTTTAGCATGCTAGCTAGCTTAAAGCTAGCATGGGTATGCCTAGCTGAGCTGCAAGCACACCTTGGATTCTTTTGTAGACATACCTTCAGTGATGGTCTGCAGGATCTTTTGGCACCCTGATCACCTTCAACAGGAACGTTCAATGGGCACAGCTAGGCCTCTACATTTGGGACCTAATTTAGTCACTCGATTTTCCTTACTTTGAGTGAGACTCTGCAGCCTTCCCATTGGACTTCAGAGGGTGCAGATTTGGCGTTGGTGACAGAGCTCCCACCTGAAAAGCCACTTGCCTCTGGAGTTCAGAGTTTGCAAGTAAACCCCAGACACAACTTCCATTGTAAGCTGAGGGTTTGCAAAAGAATTTATGCCACTGGCCTCTGCTCTTGGGTGTTATGGTCTATCCAGTGTTCAGAGATACCTCCCCTATTTTGCTCCCTCTTGGGGCACGTGGATTTACTGTGACGGACCCTCCCTTGCCACCTCTACCAACTCCACAGTTGAGATCTTCCGGTGGAGCCAATGGAAAGAGAAGGCAGGCCCTAAATTCATTTCCAAAAAATGCTGCAGATAAAATTAGTTAGACGCATGGATGAATTGTATGGAAGCCCCCAATGATGCACTTAGGATTGCTCCATATAAGACACAACACAGAGTTGGAAACAGGAAACCAGAGAGTTGCTTCTGTGCAGAAGGTGATTACATAATCTGGTCTAAAAAAGGCTGTCAGCCTGGGAGTTCCAGTGTAGGATGCTGTTATTAGCAGGTTGGTCTGGAGCAGCCTGGAGTTATTAGCCAGGAATTTTGTCACTTCTTGAGGAGCAAGGATGAGTTTGAGGCCTCAAAAGGGAGAGGCTCCTCCATTCTTCTGAAGAGGATGGGCCCCTCATGCCCAACTTGTGATCCAGCTCTGCGCTAGCTCCTTTTGTCCAGCCAGCCCTCCGTTCTTTAGCACATGTGGTAAGGCCCATCCTTTTCTCAGTTTGAGGAACAGTTTGGGGGAACATCTTTTCCCCTGAGATGTGTAGACATGGGGTAGTTTAGAAACCAAAACCTAAATTATGTTAAATTAAGCCCAGCCTGATGGAAATCCCATCTGCAGTGAGTCAGCCGGGTGGTCTCCAGCAATCCTTCCCATTACAGGAGGAAGAGCAAACAGGCTCTGAGGGATTACAAGAAAGTTCAAATCCAGTTGGAAAATCTGGAAACAAGTGTTCGGGACAGATGCAAAAAAGAGTTCACAGGTAAGAGAACTTCCCTCCCCTGCAGCTGCAAATAGAGGTGTTGGGGAACCATCTCTGGCCCTTCCATGTCTCCCAGACCCTACGGCCCTTGTCTCAGTAGCTGCCTCTGTGTGAACAATCATACACCTTCCCATGTCAGTGTGTTAAAGTTTACAGCCAAATTCTGCTCAGCTACCCACATGCCCTTGAGGTCAGTGGAGTGGCACTTGTGTAACTTTAGTGGCACTTGTGTAACTGGGAACAGAGTTTGGCCCATACTGATCTCTGCAGTTCTTCATCTTGAACATCAGAATCTAGAGATAGGATCATTAATGTCCCCCTTTATCCACAAACTGTAATTCTATCACTAGCAGCAAGGAGCACGGGGAGGGGAGGACACTAGGAGCTACGGAGAGACTAATACTGTGATTTCTAGTTAGAGGTGGAAAGCAATGAGACACATGAAAGTCATGGTGCTGTAGTGACTGTATAATACTGTCTCTGACCTGTGATACCGCCAATTATCATTGAGCCTGACTAAACACAAGGCCAATCCTTTAATAAACATCATCCTTTAGCAATCACTAGTTTGCTTGGTAGAGTTTTTTCTGCTTTTTTTAAACCCAGAAGATGGCCCTCAGCTGCAAACAAGAATAACAACCTGTCAGACCTTACAGTCTCTCCCCAGGAGCCAGGGCTGGAGAGCTCCCTACAGACCATTTGCCAGTGCTCCGAACAGTCTAGTTTTAAATGCCCCACATGACAGGGCTTCCACTCCTTCCTTTTGGAGAGGATTCCACAGGATGAAGCATCTCACTGATATTTAGCTTGTCTGTTTCCTTTGTCAATTCCATTCCATTAGATCTAGTTACCTCCCAACCCACAGCCCCATGTTCCACGCTCTGGGACACACGTTCTCTTGATCTAACTTTGTAACACAGAAGCTCCCTTTATTTTCAGACCTGATGACGGAGATGATGGATCTCACCAGTGACCTCGTTGGTACCGGAATCCCCTTCCTGGATTACAGATCCTACGCAGAACGTATTTTCTTTCCAGGACACCGTGAGTCACCACTGCAGAGAGGCCTGGACATGCCCGAGTGTCGGCGGCAAACAGTGGAGCAGGGCTTGGTGCAGCTTTCCAACCTCCTCAACAGTAAACTCTTCCTTACCAAGGTAACATCCCTTCCTTAGTTCCCTGCAGTAACTGGCTCCTTTGCCATTTCACAGGCAATTGTTGCCAAGAGCGACATAAGGGACTGTGAGCTCCCTTACAGCATTCTTCAAAGTGCCTCCTGATGGAAAGCAAGAGACTGGAATAGCTGGATGTTCCCCATATCTACAACACTTCCTACAGCACCTCCTACTGGGAAAGTCCATAGCTGTGGTTACCCTATTTTAATAGATTAGAGCATTCGTTCATCTTTGACTCTCTCTCTCTCTCTCTCTTTAGTTTATCCACACTCTAGAAATCCAGCGCACATTCTCTCCAAGGGACCGGGCCTATGTGGCATCCCTTCTCACTGTCTCATTGCATGGGAAGCTAGAGTACTTTACTGACATCCTAAAGACTCTTTTGAATGACCTCGTTGAGCAGTATGTGGCCAAGAACCCAAAGCTGATGTTGCGGAGGTGAGTGAGTGATTCAGTAATAGTCCCACTGTCTTCAGGCTGGTTCCTGGACAGAACTTTTCTTGCTGTCATAGAGCTCTGTAGTAACAATGTGCTGTGCAGCAGATACAGATCCAGTAGGTGTCCAGACATGAAGCTCTACCAAAGAGGAGGCAACAGAAATAAGAGATCCCAGCTGTAGACAGTGATGAGACAGAGCAAGAATCCTTCATTCAGATCCTCCTTCCTCCAAATTCATGCAGTACACTGAACTCCCTTTTTTCTGCCCCCATTTCCCTTTTTCAGCTTCTCTACCATGTGGTCATTCTTCTGTCTCCCCTTGCCTTGGGCTATGCTGAGCCCTTAGCCAACCTTAATACCCCTTCCTGTCTTGTCAAGCACAATCCCCTTTTTATGGTGGCTTATATCATCACTTTCTAAATGTCACTGGGTCTGCAACGCTGTGGGCAGACACTTTCTCAAGGAAGCAGAGCCATGGCACCCCGTCATTGGGCCCCTTCCTGACCATCTCTGAATCCTATTCTGAATTGTTTCCCTGGTTTTCAAAGCTCTCCAGGGACTGGCATCTACTCACCAGCTTCCCTCACCAGCTTCTGACTCCTGCCGCTCGAATCCTATCCCCTTCTGGTCCCTTCCTGCAACAATTAGAGGTGACATTTAATTGGTGCTCCCATTCTGCCTAGCTCACTTCCCCTTCGCTGCTGAGTCATTTCACACAAGAAGTACCTGGAAATCTCCCTATGGGTCTGTGTGTGATGTTGTGGGGGGCAGGGAGCTGGGACTGTGGGTCTGTGTGTGATATTGTGGGGGGCAGGGAATTGGGACTGTGTCTCTGTGTATGATATTGTGGGGGAGGAGCTGGGATGTGGATCTGTGATATATTGTGGGGGGGCAGGGAACTGGGACTGTGGATTTATATGTGATATTGTGTTGTATAGCATTTAGGAGCTTCTGGGACTGGGGGGCTGAGTAGAATATTGTATGATATTGTGTGAGGGAGAGGCTGGAACCAGGGCTTCTAGGGAGGCATTTTTGCCATAGAGTGGATGAGGAGGTGTGCAACGAGCCATCTGGAGACACACAAGTCTCAGTGGGAATTTTTTGGCAGATCTCATCCTCCCAATTCTCAGATATTAGCTTCCCACCAGGGTTTTGTAGCAGGTGCTGCTGGATGTTACAGGGCAGAGAATATTTCCTCACGGAGGGTGGGGTTTCTCACAGCATTCAACATTGGCTTAACTCTGCTCCTGATAAAGTTGTTGGGAGTTTAGCCCGTGATTTCAGTGGGAGCACAGTTAGGCCAACACTGAGCTTTTTCTAAACCCTGTTCCCTCTGCAATGAGCTGGTGGCATGATTGATACCTTGCAAGATATCTGGTCCTTTTATTCCTAAATCAGTCTTTCTATAAGTCTGAGATATAGCAGAGGGGCATAGACACCTGACTGCCCTGTTGTGAGTTCTGTCCCATTGCAGGGAGCTGGAGATACAGCACAGAATTTTATGTTTGGGTCCTTTGGGCAGCCTGTAGAGGCATTAATGGCCTCTTGTGACTGCAGGTTAATTGCTTGCCTTACTGTTCACACACTAGAAGTTCTGTGCCCCATTCAGGCTGAAGGCTTGAAATTTGTACTCGGGTGGGGTCCTCAAATAGTCTTTGCCTAGAAAGCATGTCCTGATCCTTATCATCCACCCCACTCTCTGCTCTGGCGCCTCCCCGTGAGGGTAACATACAGTAACCAGCCTGGGGTTCTCTTTCAGGACAGAAACAGTAGTAGAGAAGCTGCTCACCAACTGGATGTCCATCTGTCTGTATGCTTTTGTAAGGGTAAGAATTCTCCATCCCTGGGAAGGGTGGGGAAGCCAAGAGAAATGGAGACTAAAAGAATGCCCCAACCCTGCTACACTAATATAGATCAGCAGTCTGAGCGCCTGCTAAAATGCTGTCACAAATTACCCTGTGTGCAGTGAGCAGGAAAGAAGAGCTGGGTTGCTCACAGCATAGATTGCACAGCATCCAGCACTTCATCAGCCCCCTCATCTGCACTTTTCCACAAGCCTGCAGCCAAGGGCTGAGCTGGACTGTTGCATGCCCACACGTTGGTCCGGCAGACACAGCCCGACCACTGTAATAGCTGAGTGTCTCACACACATTAGTGGGATGATCTGCACAACACCCCTGTGCGGGAGGAAAGGTGTGAGCTTGTGATGGGGTTTACAGACCCCACACAAAGGCTAAGGCAGTGAAGGAGCAGTTGTGGGCCAAGAGGACCCTACCCCTCAGCAGCTGGTGAGCATGCTCCAAATGGAGGACCTGCTTAAAAGGAGACTCTGACAGTCAAGCAGGGGGAGAGTGAAGGAGAGGCTGTCTGTAGGGAGGATGCCAGATTGCTGCTTCTGGGAAAGAGCAGCCTACAGGAGAAGGGTCTGGACTGTGGGTAAGACCTGGCCAGAGGCCCCTGCTCCCTGATAATGGAGAACACCTGGACCCTGAGAAGTGAACTGAGAAGTCCCCATTTGGCTGTTTGAACTGTTGAGACTCATTGGGAACTCTGCTAGGGAGAGGCAGAGTGCTGTGACCACATCCCAAACTGAAGAGAGAATGGGGAGGTAGGAGTTGGCCCAGGGGAAGCTGGTCTGATGTATTGGCCAGAGGGTGCTGAGACACTCCTTGCCCCTTCCCCCATGGGCCCTGCGCTGGGACCTGGTGGAGAGGTCCCATGCCCCCGTCCGGCTGGGAGAACCTGGGGCACACTGGGGAATGAAGGACCATAACCCAGATGCCAGGTTTGCGGACTGCCTAGCAAGGCCATCCCAGACTTTGGGGGACAGTTGAGCCACAATCTGCCCACCAGGTCTATGCAGGCTCCCAAGTGAACCTGGCTACAGACCTGCATTTTACAGATGAGGAAACTGAGGCATGGTGTCTTGCCCCAGGTCACTCGGGGATGCTGTGGCACACATGGAATTGAATCCAGGTCTCATGAATTCCAGTTCAGTGCCTGAGCCACCAGGCCGTTTTTCCAGAACATGGAGCAGAGATGGGGTGGGTGGAACCCTCCGACTTGGATTCTTTGAGTTGTTTTGTTGACTGGTGCCTTTGGCTATGCTCCTGGGGGTAAAGGAGTCCATGTTCTGAGGCCTGAGGTCACTGTCAGGCAAAATGAAAGTGACTTCTCTCAAGAGTTGAGCCTCTTTCTGTCTCTGCCAGGACTCTGTCGGGGAGCCGCTCTATATGCTCTTCCGGGGAATCAAGCACCAAGTAGATAAGGGACCAGTGGACTGGGTGACAGGGAAAGCCAAATACACCCTGAATGATAACCGCCTTCTGCGAGAGGATTTGGAGTACCGGACTGTGGTGAGAACTCCCTACTGCACATCTCTTTGTGCATTCTCTTCCCTCCTTGGTCTGTACCAATGAAACACCATCTCCTAATCCAGTGGTTCTCAACCTGTAGTACACGGACCCCTGTGGGTCTGTGGACTATGTCTAAGGGGTCCACGAAAGACTTAGACTGAAAACTGAGTGAACAGAATTCAACTATATATACAGACAATACATTTCCAAAGGGATGCACACCTTCATTTGAAATTTATTAGAGATCTGCAAATGAAAAAAGATTGAGAACCACTGTCCTAATCTACCCTGAGTCAGGACTAAAGCCACCCTCTCGCTAGTGTCCTGTTACTGCCCAGTGGAAGCCATAGCTTTACACCAGGATCTGGGATTGGCATAGTTCCCAGTGTAATTCAGAGCTGTTCTGCTATCGATGGCCTAAAGAGGTCTAGCAGCCAGGGACTGCCAGAGCAGAGCAGTACTCTAGCCACATCTCCTCCTCACCGGCTACATCCACTGCGGAATCATGGGAGAAGAAGGAGAAGCCGTAAGAGGCCACAGCAACTCTTTGCCAGCTGAGGAGGCCCCCTACATAGAGGCAACCTTCAGGAAGCCTGCTGAGCCAGCTTTACATGCCCTTCATGCCACTGAAGCAGGACTGAGAATCTGGCTCATTATATTCATGGTATTCCCTTCCCCAGTGGTCTGGAAATGTAAAAGGTTTATTGTTAATATTATCACTTATTAGTGGTTTGCTAATGGTAAGTGTAACTGTTGGGGGAGGGGAGTGCAGGTGTGATTGCTAATCAGGCTCATCACTGTATGCAGCCGTTTCAGCTTTCTTTTCTTTCCCCAGACTTTAAATGCTCTGACTCAAACTGAAGCTACTGTGGGAGAGGCAGAGGATTCTCAGGGTGTCTCTGTGAAAGTGCTAGACTGTGACACTATAACACAGGTGAAGGAGAAAATCCTAGATCAGATCTATAAAGCAACGCCATATTGTCACCGCCCAGACCCAGACTCCCTGGACCTTGGTGAGCACAATTCATTGATGCCAAGACTCAGTGATGAGATTGAAGAGTGGAGTTATCTAATATATCTAATAACTGTCTCCTGTGCCATTGGTGTGCCTCACACTGTCCATTCAGCAGAGAATGGAGACAGTCCCTGCCCCAAGGAGCTTACGTTCTAGCCTGGATTCAGTGTGACATCGTCAATGTGGGAGAGGGATAATAGCAGGAAGTGGGGTGGAAAAGAGGATACTTGTAATCTTCTGCCGCCACCTCTTGTTTGCATGGTACCTGGTGTTCTTTTCACCTTTGTCATTGGAAGTAGCTACTGGGCCTGGTTGGTTATTGTCAGAAGGGTTGTAGAGGAAGGTGGTCTTTTGAGGAAGGATTTGTATGAGGAAAGGGATGTTTATGAAAAGCATACAAGATCAGAGAGGGCACTCAGGGTGTAGGGGACAGCATGGGAATAGTCCAGAGGTGCTAGAAGGTTATGGGCTCAATCCTGCTCTTATTGAAGCCAGTGGCAGAACTCCCATTTACTTCATCAGTTCAGGATCAGGCCCTAAGTGGGCTAATGAAATGCAGGGCTCTTGCTGGGGGATGAGCTCTCCAATCTTTCCTCCTCTTTTGTTCCTTTTTCTCAGTTGGAAGCAGTGAGGCATCTGCACACCGCTGTATTCATAGGACATGCTCTCGCTCAGTAATGCATTGCGTGATTCAGAGTTTGCAGTTTACTCTGGACACACTTCTTGTCATGCCTCCCTCTTCTCCCATCCGTCCTGGCCTCTGGGATGTGGAGCCATCTTCCTGTCTATAATTGCCATTGCTTGGTCGGGAGGGAGAGGATGACTATGGCCAACAGAATTACCAATGAGTAATGATCCCACATTGATGCTGAAAGCTCAGGTTTTAGATTGGCTGAAAACACAAGTCTGAGTTTCCCCTATATTGAATTCTGTAGCACTTAGAACTCCACTCTTCATTCAAACCATTCATCGCCATTGCAGCAATTAATCCACGGATGCAGACAGGTAGAAAGAAGGCGGCGGCAGCAGCAGCAGCCGCAAACAGGTTGTTGGGCCCCTCTCTCTTACGCACAGAGAGGCTGCTGTGATCACAGCTTTAGAAAGTTTGTAGCCTACGCACAATGAGTGCCAGGCAAGGGTAAGATGCCCATGTCTGCACTAGCAGGGTGGCTGGGATGCCTTTACTCATTTAAAGTTCTTTGGGGGCAAGGACAATATCTTCATATCTTCTGTGAAGTTCCAGACATTCTGACAATAATCTGCTGCCCTGTGTCAAATAATGTTATAAAATAGTAAGTAACAATCCTAATAGACACAGGGCCTTTAAACATACCCTTTTCCTGTAACATATGCTGCACATTTGTACTGTTTTGTATTTCAGCATAGAAGTTGCGTGGTTACATTATTGCGATGTACATATCCAAAGGGATAGAGTTTTGTTGCTGCTGGAACTTTACCCCGCGTTTCCTAACAGCTACGAGATTAAACTCTCAGCACTCATGCAGTGCACTGCTGATACAGTTCTGGCATGTTGTTAGTCTTACCTGGCATTGGTTTCTGCTTATTGAAAGTGAAATATACAAGAAAGTTTTAAAGACAGTTCAGCTTTCACAGTAAACATTTTATTTTTATTTTCCGTTTTCTGTGTTTTGATGACTGTAGAGTGGAGATCAGGTCTGGCTGGTCACCTGATCCTTTCCGATGAGGATGTGACCTCTGTCATTCAGGGAACCTGGAAGCGCCTGAACACTCTTCAGCACTACAAGGTCAGAACTGAGTATCCTTCTTCCCTTCCCCTTCTCAGTGACCTTCAATTTCAGGTGTACACTCCACCTCTAGATCTGACTCCTGCCTGATCCCATTTAAAGAACCTTTCTAGCCCCACCTGTGATGTGGTGAAGCCTCTGACTTGCTCCTGACACAGGAACCGCTGTTCAGTCAGTGTAACCTCCTCTGTACTCTGCATCTCCACCTCTGACAGCCTGAGGCATGGATGCTGGGGGGGCAAACGGGTGTCTGATGTTTGAATATATATCCCTAAGCTAATTTCTGGAGATGCTGTAATCAGGGCAGGCTTGGTGGATCTGTTGGTTAGCGCCCGAGTCCTTTGACTCTGGAAATTGAGACTCAAATCCTACCTTCACTCACAATTGAAAGCAAATTTTGTGCACCTCTTCCTACTCCTACCATAGATTTGTCGCCATCAAAGAACCAAGCAGCAGTCACACAAGGATTGTGGGAATGTGAGGAAAAACGGTTAGACAAATGGGTCCCTTTCTGGGTACTTGGAAAATCTGTGGGGCTACGAAACAGCAGCAGTGCTGTTCAGCACTTCATTCTGTGTAATTGATTCTAAGGCCAGAATGGACCATTATCTTCCACTTCTTCTTTAGCCTCTGTCAAATGCACCCTTCACCGCAGTATCTGCCGTCACTCTCCCTCTATACGGCTCGCCCCCTTCTTTCCCAGTATCTTCTTTTATTTAAGGTTTTAGAAGTTGGGTTGCACTAGACTGTATCTCACTGCTGTCATTGTTGATACACCTTTTGCAGACCTGCAATTGTGTACCTCTTCTGTCAGCATGAGACAGGCTTACTGGCTGAAGTCAATATAAGGGCTACATGCCCAGTATAGCAGATGGTGGTCTCCAGAGCTGGGATCAGGCTGCTGGGAATGAAAAATAATGTTTAAAATACCTTGCCCTTACCTTGCCTCAAAGCACCTCACAGCCCTTTTTACAGATGGGGAAACTGAGGCATTAAGTGTTGAAGAAACTTTACCAAGCTCACAGAGTGAGTCAGTAGCAGAGCCAGGAATGGAACCCTGGGTCCTGAGTCCTAGTCCCCTCTTCTAACCAGGAGACCATTCTTCCTCGTGGGTGGGCTGTTTAACTTTATAAAGCCTGTCTGTCACACTGAGAAGGAGAAATGTGCAGAATATTGTTAACCCGAGTTCTGCTTGTACACAGGTGCCTGATGGAGCAACTGTAGCTCTGGTCCCACGTCTGACCAAACATATCCCCAGGGAGAATCAGGATTACATCCCTGGAGAGAGTGAGTCTGATGCTTAAGGCCTCATAAAATAGTTTCACAGAGCCCATCAGCTGGCAAGCTAGGACTTTGTTCTCCCAGGCAATAGACATAGCTTTATGGTAACCCCCAATAGCTACTAGGTGAGTTGGGCCTTCCTCACTATTAGCATTGACAGGATATCCAAACTGTCAGCACCGGGGGCTTCTGTAAGTGTCTGGGAGCCAGAGGCCCCTAAAAACAGGGAAGCAGGGCCAGCAAGGAGAGTCCAGCTTGAGCTGGAATCTTCTAGTTGCTAACCGCAGGGGCTGGGTGCAATCCATAGCTAATAGGCCCACCAGTTGTTAAACCTAGGGCCTGGGCACAATCTCTATCTTGCTGCATGTTCCCTTAGTGCAGAGAAATCTTGTTTTTTCTTGTAAGGGCAGCAAGTGGCTCCGAGCAATGTGGCCAGTCTCTGAGGGGAGCCTAGAGATTTCAGTAGTATTTATGTTGCAGAAACGCCGATGCTGGAGGATGCAGATGAGGGTGGAATAAAACTTTGGCACCTAGTAAAACCAACTGAAGAGCCAGAGCTCCCCAAACACAGGCGAGGAAGCTTACGGGATCGGGAGCGAGCCAAGGCCATTCCTGAAATTTATTTGACACGTCTCCTCTCTATGAAGGTAGGAAAGAACATAGTGTTGGATTAGCTAAACTAGGTCATGGCTAGGATACTTCCTTCCACAATGGCCAAGGCTTGGTGCTTTGGTGCTAAACCCTCAAGCCCCAGGGTGTGTTTTGCCAGCTGTGCAGCACTGCACATGAGGAAATAATTCTTTGTTGCCCAGATTACTGATGTATTTATTTGTTGACTTCCCTGTAACTCCAGCACCATAATATCTTTAGTTACACATGCTAAGGGAGTTAGCCTTCCAGCAATCTTCTAAAGGAGAGAAATGTTGTTATTCTCGTGTTCTTCGAGTATGTGTCCGTGTGAATCCCACTTTAGGTGGATGTGCCCCATACATGTGAGATCAGAATCCTTTGAACATCAGTGTCCATTGGGTCATGCCTGCACCATGCACATGCTCATGCACCTCACCTCCAACAGCATAAAAGGCAGGGCAGTTGCAATCGTCATTCAGTCCCCTCTTACCCCCTGCGGCAACAAGATGGAATGAGCGGCATTTGCCTGCTGCCCTTAGCTTCAGCTGCAAAAAATTAGGTAGTTATGGTTAACTCTCTTTAAAATTCCTCCCTATTTTATTTTATTCTAGACATATAAAAAACCCAAAAGCTAAATTTGATTTGTCCCTTGGTCCTCTGTGTGGGCCAAAATGCCAGATTCAGAGCCCTTGAGCTTCAAACCATGTCCATCCTGCAATGGTCTCATTCCACTCCCAGATGGCCACAGCCACTGTATGTTTTTTGTCTTGATGAGAGCCATGTGCTAGGTTGCAGCTCGCTGTGTTTTTCATTCTCCACAAGAATGAGGAAGACCTGGGACCCCTCTGAAGCTATAACTCCTCAAACAATTGTCAGGACCCCAGTACTGAACCCAGCCTGCCAGGTTTTTAGGTACCAGCCTTAGCTGCTGTGCCATGGTGATGCACTGAATCAGCGCCACTGCCCAACAGCCTTCATGCTAAAGGCCTAAAGGATCCAGGCCCCTGAGTGAATGGACAGGCGACACTCTTATTGGTATCTGTACTATATAAAAGCCTTAACAGGTAGAGGAAGCTTTCTCAGCAGCTCTTGACTACTGCTCTGGACTGCCCCCAGCCCACCTCAGCCACTGGGCATTACAGTTTGCTCAGACCACTTTGGTCTCCTCATAGGCTTATCCTAACAGAAAAAGGTATGGAGCCCACAAGTACAGCACCGCAGGGCCCATGGAGACACTGAGCCTCCAGGAGCAGATCACTGGTCTACAGGCAGAAAAACCAAGCCTTACTGGCCACAGTGGACTAGCTTCCAGGGCCGGCTCCAGCATTTCTGCCGCCCCAAGCAAAAAAAAAAAAACCCGCAATCGGCAGCGGCAGTTCAGCGGCAGGTCCTTCGCTCCTAGAGGGAGTGAGGGACCTGCCGCCCCCGAATTGCCGCAGGTGCCGCCCCTCTCCCTTGGCCGCCCCAAGCACCTGCTTGTTAAGCTGGTGCCTGGAGCCGGCCCTGCTAGCTTCAGGCAGAAAAACCGCTCCCTGCAAGAACAAACCACAGGACTGCAAGCGGGAACATCTCCCACAGCCCCATGGCCCATGTTGCCTTCAGAACCCAAACCCACGGTATTGCTACCAGAGTGCTGCGATGGGACCCCTAGCAGTTTCAGGGTTTTATGAGCCACTACAGGCTCCATTTCCTGCTATGGCCCAATGCCTGCCTGATGGATCAGTCAAAGGTGGCATACTGGCCAATTGGGACACTTTCCTGAGGACCTTTGATGACCCACGCTGAACTCACAATGCAGAGGTTGCCCTACAGGGAGTCTGTCAGGCCTCAGGGTCAGCTGCAACGTATGCAGCCTGCTTCTGATGTCTGGTGGCAGGTATGGCTTGGAATGAGCTGGCCCAGCTACGCCAGTTCTGTTTTGGCCTCAGCAAGGAAATAAAAGATGAGCTTGCCTTCATGGACCTTCTTGTGGATCTAGATGCATTTATTGTTGGGGTGAAGAGCCGCACTTGAACCACTCAGGAGCCATCCCCACACCCTACGTTTTGGATGCTGGCTTACGTTCTTCCAGTAGGCATAGATTCTGATAACTCTTCTGTCTGTTGTCTCCGATGACTATTCCATGCAATTTCAGCTTGCCCCACATCCCTTTTCAGGGATTCGTCTCAAAAAAGCCAAAGATGTATGTGGCTTCTCTGCTTCACCTAGGAGCCAAAGAGGAGGCATCTCTGGAGTTCAGAGGAAGAGGTTCTATTCTTGATATTTCCTTATCTTGAAGTAAAAAAAAGGGGGGGGTCTTCATCCCATCCTAGACCCAAGAAGACAGAACAAATGCAGATGCCATCTCACATTCAGGGTGGCAGTGCTTGCCTCCATCATCCCTTCTCTCAAGCTCAAAACTGGTTCATGGCTTCTGACCTCCAAGACTCATATTTCCCTGTTGTGATCCATCCAGCCCACAGGAAGTATCTGCGTGGGGCCAATCACTACCAGCACAAGGTGCTGCCATTCAGTTTCTCCACCTCAAAGTGTCTTCACAAAATGCCTAGCTGTGGTGGTGGCACCTCTGAGGAGACAATGCGTTCATACCTAGACGACTGGCTGATCAAAGGCAGGTCTCATTAGGAAGTCACCACAGCCCTAAACTATGTCCTTTGCCATTCAGAGAGCTGGGTCTCATGATGAATTCACCCACATCCATTGCTCGGCTGGCTGAGACTAGTGTATCACTCCATGAGACATCGAAAGAACAAGCACATCATGCTTCCAGCTTACATCCAATTGTCATTGAATTGGTGGTCAGGCCCCCAAGAACTTTCAGAATGGGGTACCTTTCTCCACACCTTGATGCTGATCACAGATGCATCTGGACCAACTCCAGATACACAGAACTTGGTCCCAAAAAGGCATGAACCTGCATCTAAACGTTCTAAAATTGCAAGTGAACTTGTTAGCTTCTGTAGCATTCCGTCCTGTTTTACACAATTCCACCATGAAGATTTTCAGACAACACATCTACAGTGTACTATGCAAACAAGCCAGGACTTGCCCATTCATCACTCCTGCATGTCAGGAGGCAATCAGTTTATGGCAGTGGTGGGCAACCTGCGGCCCGCGGGCTGCACCCAACCTGTCAGGGTAATCCGCTGGCGGGCCGCCAGACAGTTTGTTTACATTTGCACGGCTGCCTGCAGCTCCCAGCGGCTGCAGTTTAATGTTCCCAGCCACTGGGAGCTGCGGGTGGCTGTGCAAATGTAAACAAACTGTCTGGCGACCCGCCAGCAGATTACCCTGACAGGCTACGTGCAGGCTGCAGGTTGCCCACGACTGGTTTATGGACAGGGTGTCAACAATAGTTGGGTTTACATTAAATGTCGAAGAGATAAAGTGGCTGCACCTTGGAGAAGGGGACAACAGATTAAGTGTTCGAAATGCAGCAGTGGTGAAGTTGTAGAACAAGTGGAATCTTATGTGTACCTAGGAAGCTTGATCAGTGCTGATGGATTCCATCAAAGATGAGGTTAAAAGGAGATGTGCCTTAGCCACAGGTACTGGGCAGAAACTGACAGAATTATGGATGACTAAAATCACTACCTTTGGTACCCCAGTGAAAATTTATCACACCGATATACTAACAGTATTACCTTATGGTCTGGAAGCAGCTGTATTAAATTAAACAGACATCAGAAGGCTGGATGTAGTGGAGAGGAGAGTTCTTCAAAAGATGGGCAGGTTTAAAGTGGAATGATTTAAAGACACATGAAGAAATTAGAAGGAGAGTAGGATGTGAAATCAGGGTATGGGATTGGCTGCAATCAAAAAGAGATGATGGTAAAGAAACTGCAGAAGACAAACATGACAGGATGCCAAAGATGATAATGCAAACCCAACCAAGGTCAATCTAAACTAGAGGCCAACCACCAACTAGATGGAGGGACACCATACATAGGGATGTGACGATGCTGGGCTTAATGGAGGAACAAGCCATGGACAAGAATGAATGGTGACACTATACTGCTCCCCATGCCTGTAAAGATGTTGTGGGATGAAAAGAAATGTCAACAACACAGGATAACCCCAATAGCTCTTCATCTTCCAGGAGCCAGCAATGATTTAGAGAAAATCCATTGCCAACCATGAGTGGAGCTCTATAGAGCTCCATTTTCACCCTAGTATCACAAAACCAAGGTCAGATACTTCAACCAGATAACAAATCATTGTATCAACCAGCCAGTATCCAGGCTGTCCGAGTGCTACTGACAGAGATTGCGCTACAAGATATCCTACTGCAAAGAAGAAAGTTCTCCATGAGGAAGACTGACTCCTTTAAATGGAAAGGATTTTTAATTTTGGGTAGCCCAACACAGCCGTGAACCATTGAAAGCCTCGGTACCTAAAATCTTCGATTTATATTCTGCATTTTTGAAACACTCTGGATGCTTGTTCAGCTCATTCGAAGTCCATCTTGCAGCAATCTCAGCATACCCCTCACCCATGTAGTCATGTTCGTTTTTTTTTTTTTTTCTGTATCCCACAGTATCTAGATTTCTACTTGCTTATCCACCAGTCAGAGAACCCCCTCTGACCTGGGATCTTAATATTGTCTTTACAAGCCCAGTGGAGCCCCCTTTGAGCCTCTCTCTGTGTGCTCTTTATAGCACCTTACTCGCAGGACCGCCTTTTTGCTCACCATCACATCAGCCAGACGGGTCAGTGAATTTGCATTGCTCATGGCTGACCCTCCTTACTCAACATTCCAGAAGGCGGTGGTGACACGTCATTCCCAGTTTTTTCCTAAAGTTGTCAGACCTCCTCTGAAATGAATCTGTTAATCTCCTGCTTTCTTTCCCAAACCCCATTCCTCTCCAGGGACAAACTAACTTCGCACCTGGGATGTTTCACGAGCCTTGTTCTATTATCGGAAAAGGACAAAGCCCTACAGACAGACTCCTTGTCTTGTTGCCATCTCTGGTGCCTCTCAGGGGCAGGCCATCTCCCAGAGAATACCTCCGTGGATTACCCAGTGTATTTCAATCTGCTATCACCTGGCTGCTACCCTTCAAACATCAGAGCTCATTCCAGTAGAGCACAGGCTGCCTCTTCTGCCTTCTTCAGCTATCTGAACCCAACAAGGCAGCTACGTGGAGTCAGCCCCGTGCTGCTGTTAACCACTATGCCCTTGACCTGGGGCAAGATGAGATGCCAGATTTGTTAGGTAGCGTCACAGTCAAGGTTCAGTCAGTGTCAGTTTGGACGCCTCAGTGTCACCTTCCAGATGGGCCACTGCTTATCAGTCACCTAGGAAGAGATCCACATGGACGTGTACTTGAACTGAAAACAGTTACTTATCTTACTGCTTTGACGTGTCATCCTCCCGGATCCCACGGCCCACCCTCCAGCCCTGCTTTTTGCGAGCCTTTTTTCCTGCCATTCTGAATTAGTGACAGAACTGAGTGACGGTTGTAGCTGCTCTGCCCTTTATGCCCTCGGGTGGGAGACCAGGGCACGAGGACACACATGGTGCAGGCATAGTTGAACAGACACTCCTGTTCAAATATTCTGATCTCCCATTCATGGGGCACATGCGTACCTACAGTGGGATCCATGTGGACAACAGCCTCTCATTGAAGGTAAGTGACCATTCTTTGTAGATGGGAACTGAGTGTAGCCTTTTATTTTATTTAAAGTGAATTTTGTAATGCAGTATTAGACTACCGTGGGTTCAGCTCTGGTGGCTACAGTTTAAAGCTCACCCGAGTGAAAGTCACCTTTGCTACTTGCTTCAGATATAGTCTCAAGGACACATAAAGACCCAGGATAGCGACCACACATGTACTCACAAGTATAAGGTCTAGTCTGTTTAACTGTCCCTTTAATAAAACTTGTAAAAGTTATGATTAACCAAACATATAGAAATTCTATACAGACCTATGCACAAGTTACAAATATCATCATACTCGCATTCTTAACGATATTCTTAAATTCTGATGGCTGCCTTGCTAATTGATCAGCAGTAGAGGGATGGTTCCTGCTGGAGTTTCCTCAGGAATCTTAATTTTTCCTAATCTGGGCACCCTCTTTTTTATAATGTGATTTTGACTATACCTCATTAGCATTTATGCACGTAGTGTACCTGCAGTTAGGGCATGTGTTAGAAAAAAGGTATCTTGTAAGCAAAAAAATTACTCTTACTGTTAATTTTTTGCACTATTGGTACATCTTTTCCTATAATCTTGTGGCATAGGGTCATTCTTTGGTCACTCATTTATGTCAAGCATTTCTTAAGCCTATGGCCTAGTATGGCTAAGCTAAAATCTCACAGGCCTCACCCTGTAGGCCTTACATTTCAGCCCTACTTACTTAGATACCTAATACATAATTATCCCTTCTGACTACTGATCAATCTTGTATTTCTATAATTCTACAATTTAAATCTGTTTGGAATACAATGATTATATATGATATTTTAGTTAATCGTAACATCGCACAATAAATGAACAATAAACTAAAATCATTGGCTACGTGAGACACAGTGAGACTAGTGTCTTGCGCAGGGATTCTGTGACATGGCTGGGAAAATAATCTCTTGAGTCTGTCCAGTGTCTTAAACACAAGTCCACCCTTCCTCACGTGCACCCAGTTGTGGAAGGTTGTGTTTCCTTGTTCTTAGCTTACAGAAATAAAGACATGCTCAGCAAAGAATCCTGATTTTTTTCCCCTCCCTTATCCTTTCCCCAATAACAGTCATCTTTACTGAGTTCAGTCTGGATTTCACTCAGACCATAGTATGGAAAATCCTCTCCTCGTTGCATCTGAAGAAGGACCCTTTCCCCTCCTTATTCAGCTTGACCTATGAGCAGTCTTCAGCATGTGGACTGCCAGGAGCGCCGCCAGCTTTTCTGCCGCCCTAGGTGGCGGAAGGTCCCATCCCGAAATGCCGCCCCCCACAGAGGCAGCGGAAGGTGCCGCTGCCGAAATACCACCGCGGTCGCCGCCCCCCAAATTGTAGCGGTCGCCTAATGGGTTGCGCCGGCCCTGTGGACTGCACCATCTTGCTGGTTACTTTTGTTATGGGCCATCTCTGATTTCTTCCTATCATGGTTCTGCTCACTTTACCCACCCTCAGACACTTCCTCTGGTTTCCCAGCCATTTGAGGATCAAGTTTAATATTCCCCTTGCATATAATCTGGTTCTGATTTGATGGGAGGGCTACTTCTGAATGAAGGGAAGTGACCTGCAATGAGCTGAAAACAATTGAGCCAAATCAATTGGGATGGAAGAATTTAATCAGAAAAATGGGAATGATAATTGGGAATTGCTTAAGAACACTTTACTAGATGCTCAAAAGCCACAGTCCCACAGTCAAGGAAGAAGCCTGTACTAGTTAAAGAATTGACTAGGTTTAGAGGGGAAGTGAAGGCAGCTATAAAAAATTAAACAATAATATATAGCAAATGGAAGAAAGGGGAAATTGATAGTAATTAATATAAATCAAAAGCTGGGACTTGTAGAAAACTGACAAGAGAAGCAAAGGGACATGAGGAAAAATCTGTGGCCAGCAGAGTTAAGGACAGTAAGGAGTTTAAGTATATTAGGAACAACAAGAATCCTAACAACGGTATTGCTAGATGGAAATGGTAGAATTATGAATAGTAATCCAGAAAAGGCAGCTGTGTTCAATAAAATATTTCTGTTCTGTATTGGGGGGAAAACAGAGGATGTCCTATCCTACGATGACACTTTCTGTTCCACAAGGATCTCAGGAGGATGTTAAAGAACAGCTGTTAAAATTACACATTTAAATGAGTAGGTCCAGATAACTTGCATCCAAGGGTTTTGAACGAGGTGTCTGAGGAGCTCGATGGACTGGTCGTGTTGATTTGTTTTCAGTAAGACTTGGAACACTGGGAAAGTTCCAGAAGACTGGAAGAATGTCAGTATTTTAAAAGAGCAAAAGGGATGACCCAGGTAATTATAGGCCTGCCTGTCTGACGTTGCTCCCAGGAAAGAAAATGGAGCTGCTGATACAGGACTAGATTAAGAAAGAATTGAAGGAGGGTGATATAATTAATGCCAATCAAGATGGGTTTATGGAAAATAGATCCTTTTAAACTAAACTGATTTTTTTTAATAAGATTACAAGTTTGGTTGATAAAGGTAACAGTGTTAGACTTGGTACCACATGACATTTTGATTGGTTGGGGAGAACTAGAAAGATATAAAATTAACATGGCACACATAAAATGGATTAACAGATGGCTAGCTCTTAGGCCACAACATGTAATTGTAAATAGGGAATCGTCATTGAGTAGGTGTATTTCCAGTGGATCCTGCAGGAATCAGTTCTTGGCCCTATGCTATTTAAAATTTTTATCGGTGACCTAGAAGAAAACATAAAATCATTACTGATGAGGTTTTCAGGTTACCGAAAAAATTGGGGAGTGGTAAATAATGAGGACAGGTCACTGATTCAGAGTGATCTGGATTGGTTGGTAAGTTGTGCTTAAGCAAACGACATGCATTTTAATGTGGCTAAATGTAAATATATACATGAAGGAACGAAGAATGCGAGCCATACTCATAAGATGGGGGACTATCCTGGGACACAGTGACTCTGAAAAAGATTTGGGGTCATGGTGGATAATCAGCTGAACCTGAGCTCCCAGTGCAACGCTGTGGCCAAAAGGGTTAATGTGATCCTGGGATGCATAAACGGGAATTTTGAGTAGGAGAAGAGAGGTTATTTTACATCTATATTTGTCACTGGTGTGACTGCTGCTGAAATACTGTGTCCAGTTCTAGTGCCCAGAATTCAAGAAGTCTGTGGATAAATTGGAGAGGATTCAGTGAAGAGCCACAAAAATGATGAAATAATTAGAAAACATGCCTTATAGTGTTAGATTGAGCTCCTTGAGTCTATTTGGCTTAACAAAGAGAAGGTGTCTTGATTACGGTCTATAAGTACTTACATGGGGAACAAATGTGTGATATTAGGCTCTTCAGTCTATCAGAGAAAGGTCTAACACGATCCAATGGCTGGAAGGTGAAACTAGACTGAAAAGTGTAAATTTTTTACCATGAGGGTGATTAACCATTGGAACAGTTTACCAAGGCTTGTAGTGGATTCTCCATCACTGGCAATTTTTAAATTAAGATGGGATTTTTTTCCATAAAATCTGCTCTAGGAATTATGTTGAAGAAGTTCTCTGGCCTATGTTATACAGGAGGTCAGACTAGGTGATCACAATGATCACTTCTGGCCATGGATTCTATGAAAACCTTTTCCCTACCCAGGCGCTAAAATATTTGTTTACATTCTTCCTATTCATTTTGCATTATCTTTGTTTGGCTTGTCCACAGGGGACCCTGCAGAAGTTTGTGGATGACTTGTTCCAGGTAATCCTCAGCACCAGCCGCCCTGTCCCTCTGGCTGTCAAATATTTCTTTGACCTGTTAGATGACCAAGCAATGCATCATGGAATCCTGGACCCTGAGACCATTCATATCTGGAAGACAAATAGGTATGGAGCCAAAGTTGCAGCCTGACACTTCCCTAGAGCAGAGAATCCCAAACTGTGGTCCCTGGAGTACTTGCTGGTGGTCACATGGTGCTGGCAGCTCCTATTTCCATTGGAGAGAAAGAGAGAGATGGATTGGGGGAGGTGAAATGCAGAGTAGTGTGTGTGAAATTACCTTTGTTCTTCTTTGAGTATATGTCCCTATGGGTGCTCTACTGTAGGATGAGTGCACCCATGCACTGTCGATTGGAGATTTTTAGTTAGCAGTGTCTATAGGTCCACACCTGGACACTAGACATCCTCGCGCTCTGTTGTGAGCATATATAGGGAGGCGCAAACTCGCTACCACTCCAGTTCCTTCTCAGCCACCTTTGTCTCGAGACAGTTCAGAGTAGTGCCCACTGCTTTTGTAGCTTCTTTGTCGTTTTAGGCTTAGTTTGTTTCTCTCAGCTCTTTGGTGGTATATGCTGTCAGTAAAAGATTGTGACAAGTGCACATCAAATTCTCTCACAACACTTTAAGGAACTTCCGTTTTGAGTCTATGGCTACATATTCATTCCTCTGCTACTTGTTCAAAACATCGTTTATGGTAGCCATCACGTCGGGCAGAATGATGGGCAAGCTAGGGGATTGCTGATCTCACCTCCCCCATCATCACTAAATTCTACAATGGTAAGGTGATCCTATGCCTTCATCCTCTCTTCTGCCAAGGCATCTGTGGTCATCACTGAACTGGTTTTGAACAGGACAGGGCAACTGTGCAGCCAGTGATTGGCTGCAATCTCTTTAAATGTTTTTTTTTAATGACCCACGATGCAGCTGTGGTAAACATCAGACTATGTTGTATATCCTTGATGAGTGCCCACTGACTTATTTTGGTGGTGGGCTACCAGATCTCCACCTGGCTGATGATGATGCCATCAAATGACTAGGCACATTGCACATACGGTAATATATTTCTTCTCTTCGTGCCTAAGGTCTCCTCAGAGTTTCATGTCAACCAGGACATTCGACTTCGTGTTTTTTACCCAAAGCTTCATTCTTTGAGGGGAAAAGTTAGTCTCCATACTCTGGATGTAAGGCAAGCACTCACCTTTTACCTTGGCAGAACTAAGCCTTTCAGGTTCCTTTGCTAAGAGGAAGAGAGGCCACCTGATCTCAACTCAGAGACTGTATGTGGGTATCTGGGTGTATGCTAGCTTGCTATGAAGCTTCCGAGGTGGATTCTACTCCGGAAGTGACTGGTCATTTGATCCGGGCTCAGTGCACCTCGATAGCCCTTCTCAATACAGGGCTATCACAGGCAGGCACAGACTCTGCTAACTAAAATCTTCAGTTGAGCGCACAAGGGTGTGCAAATCTTACAGTGGAGCACTCATAGGGACAAAATATGTTGAACTTAAGTTACTGAACAGGTAAGTAATTTCTTCTTCAGAGGACAAAGCACTTAGTGCACTAAAGACAGCTATAAATTCAGGAGTACTGCCCTGCATGCGAGCAAGGGCATTAAGTGGTGGTGAGTGAGATGGGGAAGGTGCTCAAGAGACAGTATCTCTGTAAAGATGTGGTCTGCACTAGGAAAGTTGGAGAACCACAGCCCTAGATCTACCTTGAGATGTGTTTGTAAAAGAGGAGATTAGTGACTCAGCAGTACAGTAAGATGGGGTTTCCTGATTTGCAGAATGGCCTTATTAACCCTCACAGCTCCAGATCTCAGCCTGCAGCTTTTGACGTGCATGTGGCTGTCCATAGACTCTGGGTTTGAGAGAGGCCTCACAGGATGGCTTTTCTGGGAATGTGATGTGATAAAAGTTAAACTTCTCACAGCAAAAGGGATTCTGCTTTCTGAGAGGCTCATCTGTGCCTTTTTTTGAATGCACAGCACTGGCTGCTGGGTCTTCCATTAGATTTAATCTCTGTGGCCAGTTGTCAGTGGCTTGGGAACCTTTCTGTTCTAGCTGAATTGGGAACTCCATGCTGATGTTGAAGTGCTTTGCAATAGGCAGGGGTAGTATCTTCTTTGAGGGCATGATACTCATCCCTGCCTCTCCTCATCTTTCCTCTTTGCAGCCTACCCCTCAGGTTCTGGATCAACATAATCAAAAATCCACAGTTTGTGTTTGATGTGCAGACATCGGACAATGTAGATGCCGTGCTCCTGGTCATTGCCCAGACCTTCATGGATTCCTGTACTATTGCCGACCACAAGCTGGGGCGGGTAAGCATGGAGGTGGGGTGAAGCAGCCAGTGTGTGCAGCACAGTGAGATTTTGAACTCCCCACTCTGGAGGTGGCAGGGAATGGTCCCTAGTCTGTGCTCATGTTGAGAAATGTTGGCATAATTGGCAACCCTTGTGGGTCCCTGGAGCCTGGGGCAGGGCCTCCCTGCCCCTGTTGCGGGAGGGGATTGCCTCTTCTCTGCACATCTTGTAGGGAAGGGACAGGTTCTGCCCACCTCTGTGAGAGTAGAGAAGGGACAGAGGCTGCCTGCCCTCGTGGGAACCCGGCATTTGTCTCTCCTCTCCCTGGTCTTGGTTTCTGTAACCTGTCAGTCTGTTTCTGGCCTTTAAAGGACTCGCCAATCAACAAGCTGCTCTATGCCCGGGACATTCCTCGCTACAAGCAGATGGTAGAAAGGTAAAGTCTGAGTGAGCAGGTGGGGACAGCTGGGTTGTTTGGCAGGGGGAGGAGGCAGCAGAGGAGCAGATACCGCATTAACTGCCCATGCGTTCCCATTGCTTAGGTACTATGCGGACATTCGCCAGACCATCTCCGCCAGTGACCAGGAAATGAACTCTGCCCTGGCTGAGCTGTCAAGGGTAAATAAAGCAACTTATTTCAGAAATCAGTGCATTTTCCATTGGGTCCCACAGGGTGGGCAGTCTGCCTCCCTGACACAGGGTCTGCATTAGCCTTTTTCCCTAGAATATCCCACTAGAATTCCCGTGTTAGTGTTGGCAGGGGCCAGACATTTTAACCACTGCATCATGACTTGGCTCACAGGAGGTCTAGACCACATGGCGGTTAAAAAACAGTGGCTGCTGGTGTCTTGTCTGTGCTAGCCCCAACACCATTGCTAGCACCAATGGAAAGTTTTAGGGGGAAAAAGACCCATGTAGCTAAAGCTTCTGAGTGCAGGAGCAACTGGGTCTCTGCTCCCTTTCCCCTTAAATGTGGTCCATGTGTGCCACTATTACTTTCTAGGTTTTTCTCTAAATCCCTTTGCCCTTGCTCCCAAGCTGGCTTTAGAGGCTTTCTTGAGCTTTACCCACTGAGCTCCCAGGGCAGCAGAACTTGTGTGAACAATTGTCTTGGTGTTGCCCAGAGATTTTGGCTAATTATATGTTTGTTCTATTACCATAGAATTACTCAGGTGAACTCAATTCCGTGGTGGCTCTGCATGAACTCTACAAATACATCAACAAGTACTATGACCAGGTGAGTGCAGCTCTGGCTTACTGGCCCCAACCTCAGTAGGCAATTTCAGACACATCCCTCCCCACCGTTATCTTATGCTTGCTTTTCATAGGTTCATCTAGTCCTGTCTCCTGTTGGATTTGTGAACAAAGAAATTAATAGTTAAGGACATCATAAATGTTCCACTGCCCTCATAGCACATAGGCCCATATTTTTAAAGGTATCTAGGCAATACTGCGCTCAGTGTTGCAACACTTGGTGACTGAAGTGCCCAAATCTCACTTTCAAACATGCTTTAGGTACTTAGAGCCTAAATCCCTTTTGAAAATGAGGTTTAGACTCCTAAATCAGGTGGTGCAATGCTGAGTGCAGTAATGCCTAAACACATTTAAAAATCTAGGCCAGATTAATTGACCTCATCAAATAGGAAGAAATGTATATTTTGTCACAACAAAAGAGCCTTCACTCTCACCCAGGGATTGTCAATATTGATGTGTTTTTGTTATCTTGATTTTTTTTGGTATCTAAATATTTTAGTTTAAGGCATAGCTTAAAAGGGAAATATGATCAGTTAAAATATTTATTAATTAACAATAGAAGTATTTGAGATTGCAGTTTCTTGATATTATGTGTATTTTAATAGGTAAAGTGTACAATATAGATTTTTATGGTGAAAATTATGCATGAGGACTTACATTTGAGACTGTTTAATGTTTACATATTTAATTTTTGTTTCTTTTTCAGAGGGCTTTGTGTTATTTGAGATTACTGATGAAAGAATATTATCTACTTTGGGGAAGAGTTAAGGCTGTTTTGCTGTAATGAAACATGCATTTCTTTGTACTTAATGAGAATAATGACTTTGTTACATTTTCAGTGTAAGAAGTATGCATTTCCATGTGTCTAACTGTTAAGGAAATGATGTTAGACAAGGTGGGTGATGTAATATCTTTTATTGGACCAACTTCTGTTTGGTGAGCTTAAGTATGAAAGCTTGTCTTTCTCACCAATCAGAAATTGGCCCAATAAAAGATGTTACCTCACTCTAATATGCTGGGACCAGCATGGCTACAGTAACACTACAAACAACAGAGGAAATGATCTGTCAAGTGACTACTCTATTATCACTTAGCAATTTTTATTGGCTGTTTTAAAATGAAGATTTTTTGCCTTTGGCACCCCCCTTGGTTTTTGCATAACTTTTTTCTGTAGGTAAACAAAATTATTTAAAATAAATAAATAAAAATAAAAGGGATGAGCATTGTTTGCGGGAGAGGAGTGGGTGATAGCACAGAGGAAAACATAGGGTGCCCAGAGGGGACTACCACTGGGATGACAAGGCTGCAGGGGGTCCCTCTGAGACATACCGTCACTGTGGATCCCAATACCCATAGCTGCAACAGAGTTGAGGCTTGCCCTCAGCCAGGGGAATCTGCTGCTAATAGTATTCTGTGCACAAGGGAGGTTGCCAGTGAGCTCTGAGTCTTGTTGCAGATCATCACAGCCTTGGAAGAAGACCCGACAGCCCAGAAGATGCAGCTGGGATATCGACTGCAGCAGATCGCAGCTGCTGTGGAGAACAAAGTCACTGATTTGTGACCCAGACAAACAGACTGTGATGCTCTTGGGTAGCTGAACAGAGGTGGATAGTGCTGCTCATTGGAACTTCATAGCTACACACAAGGTGTCCCACTGCCTTTGGAACCAGACACTCTGGGGAGCTGGCATGTGACACAGGAGGAGGTGGCCAAGAAAATGCAAAGTACAAACGTCCTTACATCTCAGAGAATATTTTTTTACTGATTTTTTTTTCCTTTTTTAAAATGTTCTTTAAACTCTGGGAGTTTCTACAAACCACAGTGTGAGAGAGAGAGACCAGGCACCTTCTTCCCACACGTTGTGAATGTGCCAAGTTTCCAAACAATATTGCCAAGGAGCTGGATAACACAAGAGCTTCAGAACAAAGTTAAAGACCATACATGGCTTCATGTGAGCCTCTAGCCGCATTTTGGTACTAGCACCAGGGATAGGAGAGACTAGTGCTGTGCCTGCTACCCTGAACATTGTATAACCACCACTACTATGATGGTAATAGCCCAGGCTACTGCAGTCATGGTAGTGCTGGACAGTAAGTGTGTGAGCTTCCTGAGCCCTCATGGAACTAGCTGGGGCATTAGGACTGATGTAGCCTGTTAGACAGTTTACCACACCTGGGCCAATCCCTAGGGACCAGAGTGTACTCCTCCAGCATACAGCCCTAGAAGCAACCCCCCTGCAGTGTAGCCCACCAGTTCCATGGCCTGAGCTGAGGAGCATCTCCCACAGCATGGCCATCAGCGCACTGGAGGGGTTGCGCCTGGCACCCTAAAATACTGAATGTAGGGATGAGAAATAGACTGGGGGGGAGATGAGAAAAGTCACTTGGTCCCAGAATTCTAGTCTTCCTCACTGCTTGTCTGCGACTCATGCTAATGAGACTAACGTGCTCACCAGTTCCAAATGTTGACCCAGTAGGCTCAACCTAGTCCTAGTGTAAGCAGGCACCATGCACTGACATCTATGGAGCCATACTCACTTTCCCCTGGACTGAATTTAGCATGGCTTGGGGAGAGGGCAAGGTGAACTTACTGAAGTGCCTCTAACCTAGATGTATGTCTGGCCCTCTGGTTCTCTGAGGTCAGATGCTGTCCTGCCACTTGGAAAGCACAGTGAAGGCCTTGTACCTATTTCCTTTCTCTGGCTTGTAGCCATTTTGGTACTCTGAACTGGATCTGTAAATACCCTCAAAATTACAAAGTATTCACATGCTCAAGGGGAATGTTAATTTTGTTTTTCTGAGACAATACTTCACTTGGATGAGCATCTCCTTGGACATTGTCATCATCACAAACTCCCTGGGCTAAGCACTGCCTGTGTCAAACTGCTTCTGCCTAGTCTCTGCCTCACTGGGCAGATCGGGGGCTTCTGACTTTTTCAGAAACATCTGGAGTTTCACAATAACAATTGGCTTTTCCCCAAATTTCCCACTAAGCTGAAATGGTTCAAGGCGCAATCTCCCAGCCAGATATACTTTCTTCACCTTTATCTCGGCCTAAAATGAAACTCCAAATACTCCCCTGAAGCTGAATGTCTTCTCAAATTCTCCTGTGTGGCTCCAGTTTAGTGACCTCCTGCCCACTTAAAATCTTAGTGGAAATCCTGAACTGTCACCACAGCCCCCAAAAGAGCAGAGCAAAGGAACCAAGTGCCCAGGCGCCCCAATGGATGAGCACCAGGAGAGGGGACCAAACAGCGACCATGCTCTGTAAATTGACCAGCCCCTCTGGCAGGGTTCCCTCTTTCCAAATTGAATGGAACTAAACTCAGGCTGTGCCCTAGACCCTCCCACCCTTGGCCTGAGTTTGGTTCCATCCTCTCAGAGAGGACTAAAGGAGTTCCCCTCCCTCCGCACCTAAGCAGGGCTTGAGGTAACACTTGCTTCCTTGCTGCTCAGAGGGGAGAGATTTCTCTCTTTCATTCCCCCAGCCATGTCTCCCCAACTGAGCATGTGGGGGAGTGTCTTTGGTTTCCTCTTACCCACTTGTCCCCCTCTGTGGAGCCAGGAATAGCTCCAGTGCTGAATGACACCTGCCCTGCATAGCTGAAACAGACCATGTACAGAGCGCAACTTCGACTGCCAATCCACTCCTTTTGCCTGGAACTGCTGATCACATGGAGACGGCTAGACTCCAGCAGAGAAATACGGTGTCTAGGTTGTTGTTTGTGTTACGTGGAGGCACCAGCCAGATGAGAGTCTTGTTGGGCTGAGCCGTGTGCAGTCACACAATAAAAAACAGCCCCGGTCCCAGAGAATTTACAAGCCTAGGTTCAGGCAAAACTTAATAGGCAGGTGAAACAAACGTGGGAGGGAGGATGGATGGGTAAGAGTGATGATCCCATCTGTGCAGTGCCAAGCAAACCTCCCAGAGTTAGGAAGCATGAGATTCAAAACTCTTTTGGCATCTGTCTATAACTTTTCCAACCCGACACCAAGAGCTTGCATACTTTCCTCCGCTGTTTGTGGCCCAGCAGTGCCTTTGCCTCTCCCACTTTTTGGAAAATCTTTTCTCTGCGCTCTCACAAAGTCCTGCCAGTCAATTTGAGAGGAGAGGAATTCTCTTGTTTATCCAGGATTTACATTAACCTGAAGTCATGTGCTGGTCTCTGTGACCAACCTCTGCCCGCCAACTCTTAGCTCCTACTTGATCCATCAGCTTCTCCCCTTGAATTGGCCTGCCAGAGCATGATGGCAACACAGGTCAAGGAGCGTACACCTTTGTCTGTGTACCTTGGCCAGGACTGAGGTGGGTGTAGGTACCATTCAGTACCTCTCCGTGGAGATAACAGATTTCTTGTTTCTCCAGGGACGTGCGTGTGATTTACCCATATAACAATAATATTAACAAAAAGAAGAGTCATTTAAAAACACTGCAAAAATGGTATCAAAAGAAAATAAACTGCTTAACATCTCCAGATTGACCCATCTCAAATGCTAAATAGGATACGACATTCTCAGCTTAGTCACAGTGAAAACAGAAAAGTTGATAGCATACATTTCTCCTCCAATCTGTCACCATCACACTGTCAGATACCAGCTCCCTCTTGCTGTATCCTGGACCCACTTTTTAACGTCCCTGTGACTTGGTCAGTTTGCAGGTTCAGACATGCCCCTTCTGATCTCTCCATTCTTGCCTCTTCCACATGGTAGAGTCCATTACCTCAACAGGGTGAGGTTTCATTAATGCTTATACAAAAGTCTTTAATAAGAATTCCTGTTTGGGGGATGCGGTGGGGGGGGGGGGTAGATTCCTAATATTTCCTCTGGGAGGTTCCACCCAGCCTTCCTATCTCCATGGTTGCTGTGTCAAAAGCCCCAGGGATTTGTATTTCCTTAGATCGCCTTTGGACATGTACCATGTTCCTACAGGACATAGCTTCTAAAGGAGCTTGGTCATGCCCTCCTGCTGCATACACCTAGTCTCTGTCTCTGCAGGACACAGAGATAGTGCTTTACATTTGTTTTATTAATTTCTTGCCATGAAACATAACTTTTTGACAGACCTTAGAGCCTCTCTCTCAGATATGAAGTGATTTTTGCCTGAGGGAGGAGGGGGAGAAGTTAGCTTCCAGCTGTCAGAATAGGGGAGGGGAAACTGAAATGGTAATCAGTGTTGCGATATAAATGGTCATCACTAGATTTCAGTTAACCCCCCCTTTGTGGTGAATAGGGGTTCCTGGCACCTTACATGATGAGACCCTACAGTTTCTCTCCAGCTTCAGATTCAAGCTGGCCACAGGTTTGGGGGTCACATTCAGAAGTTTTTCTTTACAACCATAAGCGCTTAAAAATGTAGAATGAAAGCTTAAATTCTGCAGAAGCTGATGGGATCTGGTTCAGTGAAGCACCATGTGCTGCCTCAATCTGATCCCTGGTTCCCGTTAGATGTCACTTTTTGGTGCCTTTCTCCGTGGGCTGATTTCTCTGGGTTTTCAGGACACCAGGTGCATTTGCTTGGTTATTTCTGCCCCTTTGGCGGTGGGAGGGCTGTACGTACACATCCTCTCTTGACTGACAATTTTGTATTTTCTAGTTGTGGCCTGGCCAGCCCCACGTCCACATCCTACCCCTTCTTTTTGAGTTCTTGGAGCTCCCAGCATGCTCTCTTTCTCAACAAATTGGAATTAATAATTAATATAAAAAGCTTGAAAATATGAATGTTGTTACATAGTGTAATAACTGTAGATACTATTGTGAGATGTAGGAATCTATTGGTGATACAAGAGGTTATGTCTGTAAATAATCAGTTTAGAACCCAAATGATTTTAATAAAGAGAGAATTCTTACATGAGTGATTCAATAAACATTAATATACAACATGGAATGGGTGTCATGGTTTTGTGTCTTCAAATAATTTGGCTGCTACTTATGCTCCAAAATAGGGTGACCAGAAGTCAGCACGAAAACATTGAGACATCTGTACCAGGCACCATCCACAATCTCCACATTCAGGGTTAAGCCCACTACTGCTGCCTAAGGCAGCGTTTCTCAAACTGGGGCCTGGGGGTCCCCAAGGGTACTCCAGGGGGTCCATGGGCCCCCTGATCAACTCCTCCCCCTCCTCCCAGCGCCTCTTTAACCCCGGGGAACAGCTGAGAGGGAGGGGGAGGAGCAGTTCACACAGCACGTCCCTGCGGCCAGGGGCTCTTCACCCGCTGCCCCGGCCCGAGCACCAACGCCCCTGAAGCAGCAGGTCCCTGCGGCTCTCATGGCTGCGGCAGGACCTTGGCTTTCACCAGGCCCGGAGTCTCCTCTCCCCATGTGTCTAGCTCGGGGTTCGGGCCGCCTCCGCCGCGAGGATCCACGATTTCGGCTCTGCTGCAGGCGGGCGGGCGGTGGCGCTCGCTGCCCTGACGGGGCGCAGGTGGATGCAGCCCAGGAACGGGCGTTTCCAGGCCCCGCTGTGGCTGTGACGGGGGGGGGGGAGCGGCTGGTCCCCGCCCCCTCGTCAGGGGAAGCCCCTGGTTAGCCCCGCTTGCAGCGCCTGCGACTCGGGGAGCTGGGGTGTCAAGGGAGCGGGCGGCAGCTCTAGGGGGAGCCAGGAGGCGAACCCGCGCGCGCAGCCTGCGCCGGACTGGGCTCAGCGACCGGCGCGCGCGGCCGCGCTCGGGTCACGTGGCGTGTTGCCCTTGACAACGCCGCCCTGGCGCCGGGGCTCGCGCTGCCGTCGGGCCCCGCCAGGTAGGTCGGGCGCTGCCAGGGACCCCGCCTCGCCCCGCCGCTGGCCCTGGGGCGCCCCGAGCGGCGGAGACCCCGCGGGCCGGGCCGGGCCGGGGGCTCCGCTCCGCTCCCGCCCAGCCCGCAGCGAGGCCCCGGCCTCGGTGTTGTCGCGTCGCGTCGCGCGCGGGGAGCAGCCGCCTGGGCTGGACTCTGCCCGGCAAGAGCCCGCCCGGCGCCCGGGGCAGCCGCTCCGCTGCGGGGATCTCGCAGCTAACGCCCCACGGGGCAGCGTCTCCGGCCCCCTTGGCTCAAAGCCATCGCAGGGTTGCTGGGCCGCCCGCCATGAACTGCCCTAGTTCTTGTTCGAACCCAGTTATACTAGATCCCAACATCCCCCGGCAGTGAGTTCCACAGGTAGTCTGCGCGCTGTGTGAAGAGATGCGTCCTTTTGTTTGTTTTAAACCTGCTGCCCATTCATTTCATTGGGTGAGCCCTGGTTCTTGTGTTATAAGAAGGGGGGTGAGTAACACGTCCTTCTTCACTTTCTCCACACCAGTCATATCCCCTTTAGTTGTCTCATTTCCAGGCTGAACAGTTCCAGTTCTTTTAATCTCTCCACATACGGAAGCTGTTCCATATCCGTCATCATTTTTGTTGCACTTCTCTGTACTTTTTCCAATTCTAATATATCATTTTTGAGATGGGGCGACCAGAACTTCATGCAGCATTCACGATGTGGTTGTACCATGAATTTATATAGTGGTATTATGATATTTATTGTCTTATGATCTTGCCCTTTCCTAATGGTTCCTAACATTCCATTAGCTTTTTTGACTGCCGCTGCAGTCAGCAGATGTTTTCAGAGAACTAGCCTCAATGACTTCAAGAGCTTTCTTGAGTGGTAACAGCTAATTTAGTCCCATCATTTTGTATGTTGGGATTATGTTTTCGGGTCTGGTCTCACCCCTCTCCTTCTCTCGGCGCCGCTGAGTCTTCCCTTGCTTCTTACTGGGAGAGCAGTGCCGAGTCGTCGACGGTGCCTCGCTGCGCACCGAAGACATGGTGCCGGGCGCGGAGTCGGGTCGACGCGCCAGTGCCAATGCTGACTCCATTCGCAAAGCACGGAGTCGGATCTCACGCTCACGCTTTGTCCAAGGCTTGAAGGAGCGGCAAATCTTACAATGCTCACTAATGTGAGCCTCGCCCAGACAGCGAAGACACTGAGTGTGTGGATTGCTTCTGGGCATAGAGTTGCAACAAGAGTCGCACGACTTGAAGCCTGGGCCACGGGGCATGCCCCGAGCCAGGCACTAACAGAAGAAAAGTTCAGCAAAGAAGCAGTTCAGTGAACTAGATACCACTAAGGCTATAAATGCTGCAGCCAAGGCTGGAGCAAGTTCCGACTACCTTCACTGGTGGCAAGAAGGAACTGAGGGTGGGGGGGAGCACGCAGCCCCCTTTTTGGGGCGATATGTCGGCGCCACTCCAGGGGTCGCAGTGGTGCTCCCCCACTATGGATACTGCTAAGGGAAAAACTTCCAGCACTGGTGCACGTGGCGAGCACGCACACCTATAGTGGAATACACCTGAGCAACACATCTCGAAGAACGCCAGTTACGGAACAGGTAACTTTCCTTTACGTTTTCCAATGTGTTCATTTATCAACACTGAACCGGAGGGGCAGGAAGATCTGGTGCCTCCATGGGCATCTTCCTTATTCTCCCTGGATGAAGTGGTGGCAGGCACTTCCACCACACTGCCTGCCACGGACAACAGGGCACACCAAAAGTTGCTCAAGAGGGTGGCTCAAAACTTTCTGGTCCCTGAAGGTCCTTTGAGTGTGGCTTTGCCCCTCATTAAGACTATCCATAACACCACTAAGATGTTGTGTCAAACACCCACCTCTCTTTCCTCCCTCCCCCCATGGCAAAAGGGGTAGAGAGAAAATACTTTGTGCCCTCTGAGGGGTATGAGTGCCTGTTTACTCATCCTCATACGGGCACTCTGGTAGTGGAAGCCGCCAGCCAGAAAGAAAGGCAGGGACAACCAGGGCAGACTCCTAAATCCGAAGAAGCTATGTCTCTTTGGTAGGACGGGGTATTCTACCGGGGGCTTCAGCTTCGCATTGCCAACTAGTTATAATTCCTGGAACATGCTGTCTAAGTTTCAGGAACTACTTCAGCGGTGGACTCCCGCTCGGAGTTTGTGGCTGTCCTGAAGGAGGGCAAGGTCGTCGCGAGTACCTCCTTACAGCCCTCCCTGGACTCAGTGGCCTCAGCAACCCAGACGATGGCAACTGTGATAGCCATGAGATGGAGCTCATGGCTTCAAGTGTCGGGGCTCTCACACAACATCCAACACTCTATCCAGGACTTGCCTTTTGACTGTTCAGGACTATTCTTGACGCTAACAGACACTAGGCTCCACAGCCTGAAAGACTCGTGGACAACCCTGAAGTCCCTGGTGGTTCATACGCCAACCCTCCAAAGAAAACCTTTTAAGCCGCAACCTGCCCCTCGTTTCTATTCAGCTCATCCTAGGCAGGACTATAGCAGGAAGTGGGGCAGCAGTAATAGGCAGAGGCCCTCTCAGTCCTCCTCTAACCAGAGCCAAGGCACTGCAAAGCAGCCCTCAGCCTCCAAACCAAACTTTTGAAGGTGCACCCGGGGGCAACTCATCAGTTGAGATCCCAGATTCTTCCCCTCCCTTTATGAATCATCTATCCCATTTCTACCATGCCTGGGCTCAGATCACCTTAGACCAATGGGTCTTGAGCACGGTAGAATTGGGATATTCTCTCCAATTCTGGTCCCTCCCGCCTTCTCACGCATGCTCCCTGTCCCTCTTCAGGGACTCTTCTCACGAGCAACTTCTAGTGCAGGAGGTGCAAATGCTCCTATAATTCGGGGCAGTAGAGGCGGTCCCTCTGGAGTTCATGGGCAAGGGGTTCTACTCCCAGTATTTCCTAATCCCTAAAGTCAAGGGTGGGCTCAGGCCTATTTTAGACCTGCAAAACCTAAACAAATTCATGAAGAAATTGAAGTTCCGCATGATCTCCCTGGCTTCCATTATTCCCTCCCTTGATCTGGGGGACTGGTACTCCACCCTTAACTTGAAGGACACAGACTTTCAAATGTCTATAATCCTCTCCCACAGACAGTTCCTCCGTTTCATGGTCAACAACACCCACTATCAGTTTACGGTCCTCCTCTTCGGCCTCGTGGCAGCTCCTCAGGTGCTAACCAAGTGCATGGCGGTTGTGGCAGCCTTCCTGCGGAAGCGGCAAGTGTAAGTATTTCCGTATCTAGACGACTGGCTAATCAAGGGCCGCTCCTGGGCCCAAGTGGAGGCCCACGTGAGCTTGGTGCAGATGACATTCCACAGGCTCGGCCTTATTTTGAATGTGGGAAAGTCAGATCAGCGCTCTCCTAGACTCTGATCAGGCCAGGGCATTCCTCCTGGTATCTCGCTTCCTTGCCATGGACACCATCATAAGAGGATCTCAGAAGATTCCTCATTACTATGGTGTGAAATTGCCTGAAACTGCTCGGGCATATGGCTCCTTGCACGTATGTGGTACAGCATGGCAGGCTGCGTCTCCATCCCCTTCAGGCTTGGCTAGCCCAGGTATACAGGCCGAACCAAGACTACCTAGACAAATTGGTCACACTCACTCCTCAAGTCCCTCTTGTGGTGGCTCGACCTGCAAGCAGTATGTGCGGGTATACCCTTCTCCAGGCCTCAACCATCGCGGTCCCTAGTCACAGATGCGTCAGCAATGGGATGGGGGGGCGCACCTAGGAAGATTCAGGACCCAAGGTCTCTGGTCCCAGAGGGAATTTTCGCTGCACATCAACATCAGGGAGCTGTGTGCGGTTCGCCTCGCTTGCCAGATGTTCCAAACCCATCTACAGATGTGTATCGGTATTGACAGACAATACCACAGCGATGTTCTATATAAACAGACAGGGTGGTGGTCGCTCCTCTCACCTGTGTCAGGAAGCTCTCAAGCTGTGGAACTTCTGATTCGCCCACTCAATACATTTGGAGCCTTCCGGGCTCGCAGAATGAACTGGCCGATCATCTCAGCAGGTCCTTTCACGGCCACGAGTGGTCCCTCCGCCTGGATGTCGCTATCAACGTCTTCCAAAGGTGGGGATTTCCCCAGATAGACCTATTCATGACACAGTGCAACAGCAAGTGTCAGCAGTTCTGTTCCTTCCCATGGAGGCCTGGGCTCACTCATGGACGCCTTTCTCTTCCCTTGAAAGGGGCACTTGCTGTATGTGTTCCTGCCCTTCCCGTTCGTTCACAAGGTCCTGCTGAAGGTCTGACAAGAGAGAGCATCAATAATCTTGATAGCACCAGCATGGCCAGGTCAGCCACTGGTTCACCATGCTTCTAGACTTGTTGGTGGACACGCCTATAACTCTGCCCCTGGTCCCGGACTTCATCACGCAGGACCATGGCCGCCTCCAGCATCCCAATCTAGAGTCTCTCCACCTCATGGAATGGAAACTCCATGGCTAATCCCATTAGAGCTTGCATGCTCAGACTCAGTTAGGGAGGTTCTCCTTGGCAGCAGAAAGCCATCCACTCGGGCCATTTATCTAGCTAAGTGGAAGAGGGTCTCGATTTCGTCACTGCAGAAGGGCACTCTTCCGTTACAGTCATCAATTCCCTTCATCCTGGACTGTTTACTTCATCTAAAACAGCAAGGCCTGGCGATATCATCAATCAAGGTGCACCTGGCCGCTATTTCGGCTTTCCATCCCGACTCAGCTGGACAGTCATTGGCCTGTTCCTCAAAGGGCTTCATAGACTGTACCTTACGCCCATGTGCCGAATGAATTGTGTTATGTACCCCAATATGGAGGTGACGTGTCACACAACAAAATTCATGTGGTGGGGGTGAGGCCAAGGGGTTTGGAGAGTGGGAGGGGGCTCAGGGCTGGGGGGGAGGGTTGGGGTGGGGCCAGGGATGAGGAGTTCGGGGTGCGGGCTCGGGTGGGGCCAGGGAT